GAAGTGAAAATAAATAAAACATGTACACGCTTATATACACTGTAAAGTCATTGTAATTAAAAACGTACTTGTAAGTATATCTTATATACGTTCGTTTCAGTTGTATGAATCTATTAATTTATTCAGAATTATCTGTGCACTTCACTTTGGCCAGGAAACAATTCTTTATTTATGTAAGGATTGGCCATTGTAGGATTTTAAGTACCAAGAATAAATATAAAAAGCCAAGAAACGCGTTTAGAATATCTTTAAAAAACGTTGATCAAGGATGTAGAGACCTTAGAGATGGACATCAACCTGGCGGTCACCGAATAAATCGATGCTGTATTACAGTATATAACAGTAAGGTGAAACAAAATCATCATAAAACTGTGATGCATTGGTACCTTGAACATAACCACTTGACTGCATCTTGAAAAACTCAAGCGATGCTCAATATCCAAGGTAGATTATAGATTGACAAAGGAGAGACACAGCAGATGAAGCAAGACAAAATGGCGTCGCTTTGCTGAGATCGGTAGCTAGGCAACAGGCGGCACTAACGGAAGGGAGATAACTCTCAGTTTCGAAATATTAGTTAATACCGCTAATTTGAAGTGACGCAATGCGTGTATTTCATATTCTATACATAGTTAATTCTTAATCGAATTGATATCTGCATGTCCACATTATATGTTGTAGCAGGATCACGAGGGGTACATGGGGTTTTATGCGTCCCGCGTTAGGTTTTATAACACGAGTCGCAAAGGATTTACTTTAGAGACAACTAAAAAAGAAACTACCTCCGTGTTGCTTCTTTAACGAGAGACTGGCGGGGTAATCTAGTGGTTAAAGTGCTCGCTCGTCACGCCGAGGTTCCGGGTTTGATGCCACACACTGTACAATGTTTGCAGCCCATTTCTGATGATAGTTCTCGAATATTGTCAAAAGCGCAGCAAAACCATACTCGCTCACTTCTTCAACAATACGACTTCACCTTTCACAAACAGCTAATTCCTGTTTAAAGAATTAAATAAACACTGTGTATCCAGTACCACGAAGATCAAAGCATAGAATAGAACATGTATTTTTAGCTCTGCTCAGCAAACAAACCACACTCGCATCTCAGTCAGCAGATAAGAACATCTTGTCTAAAGTATTCAATTAAAAGTATCCCTGGCTGACACGTGCAAATATAAGTGTGAAAAGCAGGCTTTATTTGAGGGTCTGAAAATGTATTTTTGTGTGATTGATGTTAAAGCGTCTTCTTCAGTGTCATGTTTACTCACTCGATGTACTCCGAGTTTCCTTACTTTATTCATGTTAATAATTGAGGAAAAGATGAGTATCAACCACTGTTCATATGGATACAGCTGTCAACACCGTATGTATTGCCATTCGGATCACCAGAATCAAGCCTCCAGGACCAAGTGGTTTGTTTGTTTGTTTGTTTGTTTTAAATTGTGACGTCGGCCGAATTGGGCTACAAATTGACAGGTTTTTCGTGTTTAGCGCACCCAGTGTTACAACGTAAAGGGGCACTGATCTAACGCAATTCCCCGGACTGGTTGTTAACTTTGTTATTGTTTTTTCCCCGTGAGTATAACCCTACACGTGTGTATTTGTCGTCATTCACTTGATGCTCAGTTAATGAATTTATTACAGGTACAATTATTGGTAGCACCACTTAGATTACTTGACAAAGGGTCCCATTTGGCATTTATTGTGTCTGGGGTAATTATTCAATCTAAATCCAGGTTTGAAGTGAGGTGAAATGTTTGTTATGTAATATGCACGTGGCAGCCCAGCAAGAGGTGAATGATCAGTTGATTTACTTTTTTTTGTAAATCAACGGATCGTTCCTAGTCATCAAAGGATTAACAGAAAATCCGTTGATTGATTAGTCACTGTTATCTTGCACAAGGGATATGTCAAAAGTGAGTGTTTACATGTCTAGGTTTACTAAAACAAAGGGAATACACTCATATCATGGCGTAAAGTGCCGATGTAAAAACAACATACTTTGTTCAAAGGGTTAACTGATAATACGTTGATTGATTGCTCATTGTTATCTATCACTCAATGTATTTTTTAGGAACCGTAGACGTTATGACAATAGTTGTCACGTGGGCTTTCTCAGCCGTCCCTTGAGACTTGACACCTATGTGAAACACCAGAAACAATCTATGGGGTCAGTTGAGAAACGAACACGGGTTATAACATCCCGAAACGATATATATCTTTTAAAATATTTGATTGTAGATTCACTAAAATTGATTAAGACGATCAAAAGGGCCTAAAAACATCACAACAGATTATTATGTAGGATTAGAAGCCAAACAACATAGAAATGTACTTTTCAACGTAACATTTTCAGTCTCTTGATGATGACATTAAACATCAACATGTTTGGAATTCGTTATTATAATAATACAGATGGAAATGTTTTTCAGTCACTTTGTAAAATAACTGAATATTTAGGCGTTTAATAAATTTGAAAATGTTACACATTTTGACAGTAAAAAAATATACACACTATAAAAAAGCAATGGTCAGGTGAAATATTTACTTTGTGTTGCAAGTCAAAACAGTGTAAACGAAAATCGCAAAATTACTAAGCAAGTGACTTATCAAAACTTCGTCACCATTACCGATGCTACCCACAAAGATACCTACATTTCCTTATTATCTCGAAAACTGTATTTCATTTTGTTGATCAATGTGACCATACGCCCTTATTACTACCGATAAAAGTGACTAATGCGCTTACGAATGGCGCAGCAGAGGTCGCGAACTAGTCTAGATTTCTGCTATACATCCGGGTACTCACTTGGAAAAACAATAACAAAGGCAACAACCAGTCCCGGGGAATTGCTTTAGATCAGTGCCCCTTTAATTAGCGCAATGTAAGCATCTTCGCGGGGCGAAATGTTGACGAAGTTTTGATTAGCAATTTGCTAGGTATTTCTGCCCATGATGTCCATCACTGGATTGTCTTGTCCAGACTCGATTATTTACAGGCCGCCGACATGTAGCTGGAATATTCCTGAGTGCGGCGTTAAACAACAAACAAGCAAAAGCTTAGGATATCGTGTGTCACACTTGAAACAATGATTTAGTGTTGTCTTGTCTGGCGCAGAAGAAATTCCCAAAGATAATGTAAAGGAACCAGAATAATTCTGTTCAATGCTACAGCAAATGGATGAAAACAAAATGCCAAAACTTACAACCGATAAATCTAGTTATATTTATGAATAACACGAGGCACTTCATTTTTAGGTCTTTATTCGCCAAGAACCACATAAATTAACAATAATCCACAAGTCTGCACCTATACAAAGAGAATTGTTCGATGTCACATTTGATGTCTTTGTAACATTCTCACATTAACAAATATGAAGCGTTTCGGGATATTATGACACATGCATGTTTCTCAACAGATCGCGTAAGTAGTTTGTCTCAGATAAGTGTCCAGTCTGATCGGTTAACTGAGATACCACATGTGACAACGTTTTTAATGATGCCCACGGCTGTAAAAACAACAACATCCATTTAGTTGGATAAGTTAACAATGACCAATCCCTCAACGTATTATCGACCATGAACACTGTTTACAATATGCACAGGCACTTCAGAATGGTGTATCCCGTCTGTTCTAGTAAAACTGTGTATAAACACTCACTTCTGACAAATCCAGTGTGTAAAGTAACAGCGATTAATCCATCAATGTGTTATCGATTAATCCTTTGTTCGCTGATCATACCTCTCAATGGATTATACCTCGCTTGCCACGTGCTTATCACATAACATGTAATACATTCACCGCATCAGACCTGGGTTCATAATTAACCAAATCTTACATTAAAACATTACCCCAGGGACGAGAAATGTCAAATGGGAACCACTGATTGCTATATATCCTAGACGGTAGACACCATCATCTGCATAAACATACATGGACACATCAGAGCCGGGGACACACGTTAGTCCTGGCACGACAGCTGACATCTGCTTATTGTAATAATAATAATAATAATTGATTTGTAAAGCGCCTAATATCCATCGACAGTTGCTCACTGGCGCTGTGACAAAGTTAAAATGTAATGTCTGTGTACATATGCCAACAATCAGGAGATCTATTGAAAAGCTGAAGTGAAGAAGTGGGTTTTGAGGAGAGACTTAAACGTTTCCTTAGAAGCAGAGTTTCTCAGATTCAAAGGCAAAGAGTTCCATAACTGTAGACTGCAAAAGGAGAAGGCACGGTCAGACATAGCAGAAGTAGACAGAGGCTGATACAGTAGAGTTCCACCAGAGGATCGGAGAGCACGCTCTGGAGAGTACAGGGATATAAGATCTTTGAGAATAATAAAGAAGTTGTTCATCCATAGAACTTGTCTTTCTTCATCACACCAACTCCTATGCTTATTGAGTTACTGTGCATAGTTTTTGTCATGTAATTTGTCAGTGAATGACGACAAATAAACAAGTGTAGGGTTATATGTTTTGAAACATAGGGATGACTTCAAAGGACGTAGTGTAGCCTATATGTTGTATAATATGTAATTTAGTTAGTTGGTTAGTTAGTTTAGTTTAGCCTGAAAAATAAGGGTAATTTCTGTTTTGAGTATATGAACTTCATTGTTGAAAAACTAATGCGTATTTGCTGTATACTAAACACATAAGTATACATGCACAGTTAATTAAATAGTTGTTATTTATTCTATTTGCATAGGTAGATGGTATACAATAATCATGCAAAGCTCCACACAATCCAAATATGCTTTCACTGCGGGGCATTTTCTTTATAACCATCAATGTGGTATTTCCAGATAACAGCTTCCACCGTTCTTGTTTTAGCTGTTGGTGTATATTGTAGATAATTAACATTCGCCCTTTGTAATATCGAAATCTTCACTGATCAAGGGTAACCAATCAGTGTCCACAAACGTAACAAATGCGATTGCCACAAAGATTATTTCCGCTGTCCTTACAGACAGTAGCACAGTATCTTGTCGCTCTCAGTTTCTCTTTGCCAGCAACTCGACTCACAAAAGCTAGGTAAAGTCGCAGCATTATGTTTTTCGTTCACTGCCAAGCTTACATATGATGACCGGTGTTCGGATTTGATTTCCACTTTTCAAATATTCTGTGTTTGTAAGAGTTGTCTTCTCCTCATATAGCAGACGAAAACGTCATTGTTAGGCTTGATTTGATTGGATACAAGATATCTTTTGGCCAATGAAATCGATTCTTTTATAGGGAGCGATTCTCTCCGTGTTACGCCAAAATGTGCAATTTTGCAGTCATTGCTATTTTTTGTGTATAACATCTGTCCTTCAGTGGAACATTAGAAATAAAATTATTGGGTGAGGAAAGGAATATCATGAAGCTCTTACACAGAGATATTGAGAAAAACGGTGAAGGGTAAGTAGAAAAAAGTAGAATAGAACAAAATCAACAGTCATTCGTGGTGGCTCTCTTGTCACTTGTGGTTACTCTCTTCATTGCAAGACTCTTGTCACTTAAGTGTTTTTGCTTCAGTTTTAATTGATGTGATGCTACTTTTCAAATGGAATTCGAAATTCTGAAATTCGAAAAAAATATCTTAGTATGGGACTCGGTCATTTTTTAATCTATCATGACCTGACATTTGTTTAGACATGACACACCAAGCACATTTGGGCTCGTCAAATGATGGGGTTAAACAAAAGTTTTCTCGACCTGGGTACCATCGAAATGGACTGAACAGGAATCGTGAAACTAGCGACAAGAAAGCTATGTGTCCCAAGAAATAAGTTGGGTACAAGAAGATATTAACAAAACTATAGTACAAAAAGATACATCACATTGTACCCCTGGTACATGTCGATGGTACCCAGGTCGAGAACAGTTTTTTTACTTAGTTTTTGCCAAGGTCTGTTTTCTCATTGTCATTTAGACTTAAGAATATTAATCAATTAATTTTCTTTAAAACCACGCTCTGCAATGTTCCAGCTATTGGTGATGATCTGTAATTAATAAAGTCTGAACAAGACGATTCAGTGATTGACATCATGAGCATCGATCCATGTAATTTGGATATGATGACATGCATCAACCAAGATACCGAGCCTGACCACCATTTAGACACCTCTAACAACAAGCAGAGGTTGTTTGGGACCTATGTTATTACCCAGAAGGGTTTACAGTTCTAGTAAATAATGGTAATGGTACGACTTGAAACATATTTGTACATTTTACACATAGTTTCAGCATAAGTGCCTGCACTTTACTATAAAGCACATTCATATAAAATATTTTATTTGAAGTCAACATTAATAAGTGACATTGTGCTCTGATAAGTCAATGGATATCAATCATCATTACATTCTAGAATTTATTTTGGGACTGGAATTTCATCTTTCGCATTGTTTTCAAGTTGTTGTATTTAGGAGGAAAGAAAAGACAAGAAAACAATAATTTTACAATTGGAAAACATTACAGAGTGCAGTTATCACCATTACTTGAATTCTCTTCAAGTTGTCTTTTTTAAAGTTATAAGGAGACAACTTGAAACCTGGACCTTTTCTGAGACTATTACCTAGGTGTCTGTTTTTAGTTGAAACCCAATTTTACAATTTTTAAAAAATATGTAAATCAATTTAGAAATCTGAACCTTTACCAACTAGAACTGGAGAAGCAACTTTTGATTTTGTAAAGCTCATCATCATGCATAATCAGCATTTATGCTTATGCTGGAGTTTTGATCCAATTTATTAATTTACAGTTCTCATTTGACTTCAGGTCTGTAACCCTGATGCCAGAGGAGGCTGAAGACATGTGGCATGCGTATAACCTGGTGCAGGTGTCGGACTCACTACGCTCAACTACTATTAGGTGATTCATGGTCATTTGTTACTATTAAATACAGCTTTTCACTTTTTCACAAAGGAAAATTGTTTGATACATTTGATTACACAAGTTTACTGTGTGCAGTTGTTTAGCGCTCTGGCTGTGGATCACGCTTCACAATCATGCGTACCCCCCAGTCATTAGTGATACTTGTGTTTGGGTTAAGGGCAGGTTACCCCAAGCTCTATCCTAGGCCACACTATGATACCTAGAATACTGTTCAAAGGGGAAGTAAACCCAACTCACTATCCTCAGCCTTTGGGTCTCCTTTTTGTTCAACATGATCCAGCACCCCTTTAGCATGTTTAGGACCATTAGGGTTAGGCAGCACTTTCTGATCAAACACACCCTAACGATCCTCAGGGTTAGTTGTGGATTAGGGGAGGCAAACTCTCTTAACAAGTTTATCTCAATGTGGTACAAGGTTTGTTTGTTTGTTTGTTGTTTAACGCCACACTCAGCAGTATTACAGCTATATGACGGCGGTCTGTAAAATAATCGAGTCTGGACCAGACAATCCAGTGATTGACATCATGAGCATTGATCCACGCTATTGGGATCGATGACATGTATGAACCAAGTCAGCGAGCCTGACCACCTGATCCCGTTAGTCGCCTTTTACGACAAGCATAGTCGCCTTTAACGGCAAGTATGGGTTGCTGAAGACCTATTCACAGGTCATGGTACAAGGTAGATCCGTAAAGTTTTTATCCGGTTTCTCAGAAGACTGAATACCACACATGGCAATTGAAAACAGTCAGTAAACGAGCACAAAATATGTGATGGTGCCGATAGTACACTGATAAAGTGCTGGTGAGTTATCTCATTGTTTTATGCTGGCAACACAGGTTTGAACCTCCTCTAGTTGAGTGGTGCTAATAGGAGTCTGGTAAAGTGCAGTACTTCCCCTTCATCAATACATGGTCTCTGTTTGGATTTGACAGGCTTTCTATGATAATCTACAATCATGGTGATGTTTCACATGATGAAATCATTGATACTCATATCACGCATCCTTGATAATCTAAGTCCATTCTATTTTGATAAATAAAATGTATTTCCTGGATCCATTTGCTTCAATTTCAGACCAGTTCAAACTACACTACCAAAAAAATAGATGTGAAATCAAATTACACTTATGAGTGAGTGAAAGTATGTGACACGTTTGCTTTTAGAGAGATTGAGATGTTGTCACTTCCAAAAAGATGCTTTGGTGGTAACGAGATCCAGGATATTGAACTTGAAGATGTGGATCCATTTCAATCTACAATGTTTCTTAATTCCTCTAATTCCAGTAGGGGGCACGGGTGGCCCAGTCGTTTAAGGCGCCGAGATTCGCTGTGCAGAGTTGCGTCCCTTGGGCATGCCAGAAACCTATGATTGTGGGTTCGAATCCCGGTTCGCCCCGATTATGTTTCTAGGTTTGTCAGCACCATACCCGTGCTCGTGGGTTTCACAAAAGTGTTAAACGTCTGAGACCTGCATCACCTCGGGCTTTCCTCCCACATTAAGCTGACACGCCGCGATATAACTGGAATACTGTTAAAAGCGGCGTTAAACCCAACTCACTCACTCACTCTAATTCCAGGAAAGTCCAAAATGAGTCGGCGACAGGAAGTGTGAGTGTCAACAAGGTGCGGACAACTCTCACTATTCAGGTGGAGGGCATAGACTTCGACACACAGGCGTGTGTGTTGCGGGTGAAGGGCAGGAACATCTGTGAGAACCAGTATGTCAGGGTAAGTTTAAAGTAGGAACATCTGTGAGAGCCAGTATGTGCGGCTAAGCGTGATGGCAGGGACATCTAGGGAGTTTCTGCTTTTAAATACCATTGAAGATCTGAAGGACCCCACTTAATTCCAACACTGTATTGTACTTGCATTATGGGCCAAAGACCTACATACAATCAAACCATCGTCTGCCACTTTGTTTCACTTATGATGCAAGGTATCGTGATACATATCGGATTGCACAGTTGGTGAATCGTCCCAACCCTAGTGACTTGGTTGATGTGTCATTGTACCCTTATAGTGAGGATAGTTGCTCAAAATGTCAATCGCTGTATTGTCTGGCGCAGACTTGATTATTTACAGGCCACTGTCAAAGAGACAGAATGTTGCTGAATACAGCATTAAACAACCCCCCAACAGACTAATAGAAACTATCCTCGTTCACATTGTTTGTCAACTTTGGATTTCATTTCAGATGGGGGCCTACCACACCCTAGACCTGGAGCAGAACCGTCAGTTTACTATTGGCAAACATGAATGGGACAGTGTCAGCATGGAGAGGATAGGTACCCTCGTCTTCACAAGCTACAAGTTTTTTTGTTCTGTTTTAGCCAACTGACACTTATTTTGACTTGCCATGTTAAACAGATTTGATTATTTATAGCATGTGTTTTGACCCCAGGAACAGAAATATTGCTTTATGCATGTGTACTACAGTCATAAACATATTTAATGTGCCCTTTGAAATTTGATAATTAATTGAGTGGCATACCTGGAGACAACGCTGTCCATGTATTTGGGGTAAGTGTGGCAGGGGAAGTTTGGGGCTATGGATACTGTTATCAACAAATGTTGTGTGGTGACTGCCTGCACCAGAGAGTTTGACGTAGTCACACTCTTTGTCTAGCACTGGTAGGTATGTCGGCTTCAGTGTAAGGCTCTCCACTATATACTAGTAGGTATGCTACCTTCCTGTCCAACAAGAATACTTTTTAATGATAAAAATGAAATAGGTATTCTTTTCATTAACATGCTGATTAAGTGTGTTCATATGTTCATCACTTTCTGTGTGTTTGTCCAGTTTACGTGTGTGAAAGTACATTTATCTTTGGCTTCATAAATATGTATCATGATGAGGTTATTTTGTCCAAGAAATTTTATTTGAGATGTGAGCCCTTAGCATGTTTAGGAATTGGGGACCTCCTTTGGCTGTACTATGATTTTGAATGTGCCTTTGCCACTCTAACATGGTCGAGGCATGCCAGAACCCTATGATTGTGGCTTCGAATTACAGTTCGCCCCGATTATGCATCTAGCTTTGTCAGCACCATACCCGTGCTCGCGGGTTTCACCGAAGTGGTAAACGTCTGAGACCTGCATCATTTCGGGCTTTCCTCCCACATTAAGCTGACACGCCATGATATAACTGTAATACTGTAAAAAGCGGCGTTAAACCCAAACCACTCACTCACTAACATGGTCGACATTGATGAAGATTAATTCAGTTCCTCGTTCAACCAGTTACAAAATCCTCCAATTTATGAATAATTCTCTGACTATTTATCTGACAGCACATATCAATTACTCGGGTATTTAGAAGCCACTGTGATATATCTGTAATAAGGTTTGTTTGTTATTTAATGCCACATTTAATTTTGAAACCCACCAAGACAGTCGAGCAGGTGACCCATTAATGTTGCCTGCCCATCTTCAAAGTGACCTGCCAGCATTGTAAACATGATGGACATTGAAACATCGCAAAGACAATTGCCAGACAGTGAGGCAGGTCGAAGAAAATTTCATAAAGCCCGACAGAAAAGTTACCAACCATGGGCAGGCTGTTATTTTGGACACTGATTCTTACTCTATTTTCAGGGGGATTTTTAATAATGTTAATTAAAGTGTAACAGAACATTCACTTGGTTGAGTGAGTGAGTTAAAATTTAACGTCGCATCGGCATTATGACTTGGTTGAAGCATGTCATCGATCCCAATTGTATGGATCGATGCTCATTATATCAATCACTGGATTGTCTGGTCCAAACTCGAATAATTACAGACTGCCGTCATATAGCTGGAATATTGCTGAGTGCGGCGTAAAACAACAACCCCCCAAAAAACTTTCCACAATTGAAAGAATGTTGCAGTCTATTCTCTTCATGACTCCCTGTTACAGAGAATGCCTGTGACCCGACCCAGCACGCTGACCTGGCCGCCGTGGTGATGCAGGAGGGGCTTGCCCACGTGTGTCTTGTCACATCCAGCATGACGCTGGTTAGGGCAAAGATAGAGGTCAACATCCCCAGGAAGAGGAAGGGGATGTGTGACCAACACACCAAGGTAATCTGGGTTCGATTCCCCACATGTGTTCTCCATTGGGATATTGCTTGGAGAATTCTAAAACATGTGAAAACACTTTCACGATGTGTCAGGTTGGGGGGGGGGGGGGGGTAGTCAAGTGGTAAAAGCATTGTCTTGTCAAGCTGAAAACCCCGGTGTGATTCAACACTTCATTAAAATGTGTGAAGTCTAGTCTTTGTGTTTCCCTTCGAGATATTGCTAAAACGTGGGTGGGGGGTGGGGGAGTGGATGTGGATGTGGATGTTGAGTGATGTGGTGAAACTATTGGCTCATCATGCTGAAGACTCATGTGCAATTCCCCACATGAGTAAAGTGTGAATGTTGCATCTGATAGCGTATTGATGGCCACATAATGACAATACAAGGATCCTGCTATCACAAACTCCTTGTATAAATAAAGAAGTGATGGCACATCTCTACAGCTACACCGTATACTCAAAGACTTGCAAGTGTGATGAATGTGTTGTAAACCCGTGAAGATCCGGGGTAGAATAGGTCTTCAGCAACCCATGCTTGTCGTAAAAGGCGACTAACAGGATCGGGTGGTCAGGGTCGCTGACTTGGTTGATGCATGTCATCGATCCCAATTGCGTAGATCGATGTTCATGATGTCAATCACTGGATTGTCTGGTCCAGACTCGATTATTTACAGACCGCTGTCATATAGCTGAAATATTGCTGAGTGCAGCGTTAAACAACAAACAAACAAACAAGAATGTGTTGTAATGATTCTACTTCAAATTGGGTGGAATTATGTTGAGCATGATTATGCAAAATTTGTTTATAATAACATTGTTTGCTGGCAATAATTTTGATTTTGATATTTTTTTCAGGGTCTTAATAGGTTTTATGATCAGATTGTTCAAGCAATATTGAGACACATCAATTTTGACAGTAAGTGATAAACTTTATGTAGAATGATGGAAAGCTCATTTGAAAGAGACAATCATTTTTTTAATAAACTTTTGTGACTTAACTTCGTTACTAAACCTGAAACAGTAAATACTCTAATACAAAATTAACAATGTTATTAGAATAACATTTCAACAACAAAAATGTGTTCTCAGCAGTAGAAATTAACAGCTTTAGCCTACTTATGATGATAACATATAGCAAAACCTTTAAAAAGGGCAAATTTCTACTAGTCCTTAACTATTGGGCAGTTTGGCAAGGGCTATAGATAGCTTCTTTCAGTGGCTATAGATAGGACTAGTGGCTATATATAGGACTGGTGCCATTTTCTAAAACTTGTTCTTTTCTTTCAGTTGTAAAATGTGTGCTTATCGCAAGTCCAGGCTTTGTAAAGGTTGGTATCAACAAGTTATGTTATCAGACTTTATGAATTACAAAACACATGGATAGTCCTGTCCATTGCTGATTGATCTGACTGTTCCAATCACTGATTCAATATTCAGATTGCTAACCAACACAACTGACCAGACTTGTTGTGATCCTGATGACATTGGTTGATGTTTCATTAGGGAAGAGGGGCGGTCGGGTAGCCTAGTGGTTAAAACGTTTGCTCGTCATGCCGAAAACCCGGGTTCGATTCCCAACATGGGTACAATGTGTGAAGCCCATTTCTGGTGTCCCCCGTCGTGATATTGCTGGAATATTGCTAAAACGGCGTAAAGCCATACTCACTCACTCACTCATTGCGGCAGAACCAGGACCAAACTGAATCCAACTTTGCAGGGTATACTACTGACAGTACTCTCAAATGATGACTAGTATGGGATTACGGGTTGAATTCATGAAAAGTCAACTGACATTGGGATGAGGTGGGAATGTTCTGTGCATGTGGGTGTACAATGACATTCTTCCTCAAGCTCCTCACAGTGATATCCCGTTCGCGGAGCTCTCTATACTATCGCTGCCACCAGTCAAAACTCCCCACTGTGATAGGTGGTCACAACTCTGCTTGGAGTTGAACGCGCAACTGAATGACCGTTATGTTTACAAACAAGTGACGACTGTCATGTCGCTGAATACACTTACCCCTACTAAATTACTTTCTTTGTTTGTCAATTTGAATTTCTATTTCATTAAAACTATCATGTAATTGATATAGTAAGAAGGTAAGGGAGAAGTTGATTTATTTTCCGTTAGTCTGCAATCTCTCACCAATCTGATTATACAAACAACAAAGTAAATTCATCTTGAAACATGATCTGTCAAAATTTTCAAAATTCACTATGATGGCATTCCCAAAGAGATGAACAAAAGTATGAACATTACTACATTTGGGGTTAAATTTCAAGATTCTTGTAATGGCCGCGCCCACACTGGTGGCAGCGATGTTACCGAGAGTGTAACGAAGGTGTCACGTACTGGGAAGGAGCTTGATTCTTCCTGAGGCAAGTGTTAACTCTTAACTGCAACCTAGGTTGGAATTTGGAGTTATATTTTGTCTGGCCTAAAAAGTCTATGCAGAGGCCAATCAAAATCTAAGGGAATCGACATCCGGTTCATGAACAACATGGCAACTGCCATGCAGATTTCAGACGATCGTAGGATTTGAAAAGAAAGTGCAGCATCAACTGGGCATCGACAAATATTTTCCAAATCTTTTCCTGTGTATAATCAACTTGCTCAAGTGATTACAACATGAATCCTTATTATTGATCAGATCATCTTGACCGGGCGCAGCCATTTTGTGTGAAGCAAATGCAAGTTATATCAGTGGTAGAATCTGATTGGTTAATGAGGGACACAGAAGGGACAAAACGACAAAAGGATGGAAACGACTTTTAAAGTCAGTTAACTCCCTTGCCTCGGGAAGATGGTACAGTGATTGCATGGAATATTGCTCTGTTTTCAGTTGCTGGTTATATACAGTGTTGTGATGTAGGTGGAATATTGCTGACTGAGACGTTACATGTTACCACTTGTTGTTTACTTCAGGATCAGTTCCATGAGTACATGACAACCACAGCTGTGAAGAATGACTACAAGTTGCTGATTGACAACAAGTCCAAGTTTGTCCTTGTGCACTCATCTTCAGGATTCAAACACTCGCTGAAGGGTAAGCAGTTATCAAGTTATCAAGGACAGTATTCACTGAAAGTTCTTAACTTGTTTAAGTGAAGATAATGTCTGAGACATAACTTTTAAGACAAAGGTTATTCTTTTTTGGTTTTGTGTTGTTTTTTTCCATTCATATTTTGTTAATATCAGAACAATGTAAAGATAGGAGTTCTCTTGAGGACTTTTATGTTCTTTAAACACTTTCTGAACAGGTGCTTGTTATTGTGTCACATGACTCATCACATGATACATTTTGTTCCCTCCTAAATAAAGTAGTACCAAAATGTTTATAAAATGCACATGAATATGATATATGTGATGGAAATTCCTGCTAACAGCTCCTCTTACAGCTCTAAGGTTATTCAAAATATAAAACAATGGACTATTGTTAAATTTCATGATAAACAGTGGCATGATTATTGTGAACTAAAACCAAAAAAACCCTGTTGTTTTTATTGTTGATTTTTAATGATTCAGTTTAAATGTGATCTGTTAATCTGTACAGTAATTGTCCTGATTTGAAATTATGAGTATGCAGCTGTGCAACTTTTATTTATGTACAGACATTCCCAAGTGTAATTGTTAAGATATGGTGTGCTTCTCGAAAGTTTCACTGTCATTTTGTTCTGACTTGTAAACAAGTAATGCTTGCTTGCAGAGGTGTTGTCGGACCCGACTGTGACATCCAAGCTGGCAGACACCAAGGCAGCAGGGGAAGTGAGGGCACTGGAGGACTTCTATCAGATGCTGCAGACCGATCCCAACAGGGCGTACTACGGGTAGGTCTCAGCACAGAATGTAGGCTGGAGAATAACATGACCACCAGCTTGCTGGAGCTAAGTAGGTTTTGTATGTTTGTTGTGTAACGCCGCACTCAGCAATTTTCCAGCTAAATGACGGCTACCTGTTAAATATCAAGCCTGGAACTTGACAATCAAGGGATCAATGAGATCCACAACGATCCACAATGATCCACAACGATCCACAATGATCCACAACGATCCACAATGATCCACAACGATCCACAATGATCCACAACGATCCACAACGATCCACAACGATCCACACCGTTGGGTTATGATGACACACTATCAACTAAGTCACCAAGCCAACCATCAGGGCATAGGATGCTCAGGACCAATTCTTACCCTGAATGTCTATTTATTTACAGTCAAACTCAGTTATCTCAAAGTCCAATCCCTGGTTGTTTGGAGTAGACAAAATTTGTTTGGAAAAACACAACTAAGCACTAGTTAGACTTTGTATCAAGTATACACACATCTCACAAGATCTCATATAGGTGCTCTGGTTGATTGGGAGAGAAAATTGTTTGCACTGGCCATTTTGGTTGCCACCAATTCTCTATTTGTTGCATTTCATTTAAATGATGCTTGATGGGGTCAGAACAGATGGGGGGAAAACAGTGTTCTGAGTATAAATGATGGTTACATGTTATGAACTGAAGTGTTTTAATTCCAGTGTGAAGCATGTGGAGAAGGCAGCTGACCTGCAGGCTGTGGAGATCTTGTTGGTGTCAGATGAACTCTTTCGGTAAGAACATTCGGTATTGTGCATTTGAGACTTGGACGTGACCAGTGATTATTTGCATACATGTACAAGTTATCTCATTTTTAGTTGTGTATTGTTTATTTATTTATTTATTTATTTATTTGAGGGGGGGGCGGGGGGGGTGGTGACATGCCTCAACCAAGTCGGCAAGCTTGACCAAATGATCCTGTTATTCACCTCTTACGACAAGCATAGTCTCCATTTACGGCAAGCATGGGTTGTAAGATGTGTGACCAATGATCATTGAAACAATGTCCAGAATACCCAAAATACTTCTGATGTGGGAACAGTCATTAAAATCAATGAAGAAAAGGAAGTTATGAAAGCAGCCACTGAGAGAGGTTGTTGCAATCCCTTTTATAAAAATATTGTCATCATCCAATCACAAGTCATGTTTCAAAAGTGAATATTCTGCAGTCAGATTTACAGGTAAGTCGTTATTAGTGCACATATAAGTTTGTATGCCTCTCCCACTTTATCTTTCCTTTTAGAAACCTATGATTGTGGGTTCGAATCCAGGTTTGCCCCAATTATATTTCCAGGTTTGCCAGCACAATTACCGTGCTTGTGGGTTTCACCGAAGTGGTGAACGTCTGAGACATGCATCACATTAAGCTGACTTGCTGTGATATAACTGGAATAATGTTAAAAGCGGTGTCACTCACTCACTCCTTTTAGATTTGGATGGGGGACCTCCCATCCAAGGTTTTTCTCGGATGACCTATTGTATGTGGAGAATGAGCAGTACAGTGTAACCTATTTCTTATGGTATATTTGCTCTTGGTTCAGATACTCTTTCCTAAATAACTAGTCCTTAATTGAGACGGTTCAATCCTGACAATTTTTAAACTGTTGTTTCGCTGCTTTTCTCAAGGATTGTTAGGTCTTATTTCTTGTAAACATGTCTGTTATCAGAAATGTCGAGGTTTATTTGACTTGCAGATTCCATTACTGGTACATTGTATAAATCAGTATTAGAAATTTGTTGTTGTTTTTAAGACTAGTTCGAAAGACGCATAGCGAAATCCTTTCACTAGTTCTATGAGCTTTTAGCAAATCCTGCTTGAAAGAAAAACAATGTTACTATGTTTACACTTTCTGTCACGTTTATTGTGTTGCAATTTGTTGCAAACTTGAAGCGTTGAGAACTGGTTCCAGATTTTTTGTCCTCAGCACATTTGACTAGTCTAGGGCTAGTGAACTTGAGTGAATTTCAAGGGCTGTGAAGTATGGTTTCCACAGTTCTGATCTTGCTGCCATTCTGATAAATAGAGAGTCCAGGGTGCTGTTGTACAAAGCGATCGTAGCGCTAAGGTGATCGTAACTCCCATACCTTAACATAGACTCACGACAGTCATAGCACTAAGCATGCTAAGGTTGTTTTGTACGACGGCACCAAGGTGGTAGCCTTTGGGTTAAAGTGTTTACTTATGTCAACACAAACAAGGTTTTGTTTCCTTCTGAAGGCCATTGATGGTGTTTTCCCAGCCTATTGTTGCTGGAATATGTAGAGAGGCAACGTGAAACTTAAGTCCCTCACAAGCCAGCTTCTTGTTCCAGGTCCAATGACATACAACAGCGGAAGCGGTACGTGAACCTGGTGGACAAGGTGCGTGACAATGGAGGAGACGTGAGGATATTCTCCAGTTTACATGTGTCGGGAGAACGTAAGTATAGGCTGTGTGTTGTCTGTGATTTGACTCTGTGAGGAATCCTGGGACAGAAAAGGTCCTGTGTCTCCACTGTTTGCTGTAAGAAAATAAAAGCGACAAATCCCTTTCCACATTCAATAGAAATCTCTGCCAAAAGCAGAGTCGATTGTATGATTCCAAATATATCGTGAGCATGTGTCTATGAATCACTATCAAATAGTGATGATACCAGGTTTGTCAGAGACAAATTTGCTCTATCATGACTCGATTATTTACAGCCTGTTGTGATATAGCTGGAATATTTCTGCCTGGCATTAAACATAAATTCTCTTTCATGATTCCAGGGCAAATTTGAAAAATTTAATTGTTGTGGATGGTTCTAATGGCAAATGTTTGCAAACTTGTTGAATTACTATTGATAAAGTAACTTAAGTTTACCTTGTGTTGGGCTAGAATCAAAAGTTTTAAACCCTTACATTATTTGTTGGTTTTACTTGTTAATCACTCCTTTGGGACTCTGATGAGAATAGGTCCCCAGCACCCGATTCTTGTTTTTAGAGAGGGTGATTTAGCGTCATTGTAGTCAGAAATGCTCATGTTATCGACCACTGGTCTCACTCTTTGTCCCACCATCCAAACCGATTATTTACAGGCCTCTATAATATGGGTGAAATGTTGTGAACTGTGGTGTAGGACATGCACTCACTCACTACTTGTTAATCATTGTAACCTTTTCCTCCCTCAGAGCTGGGCCAGCTGTCCGGTGTGTGTGCCATCTTGCGCTTCCCCATGCCTGATGACGAGGATGACTCTGATGATGAGGACTAGCCTTTTGTTATGAATGTGTATACAAGCTGATCTGTGATGAGGACATGTCTCTTCAGGGTGGCTCGTCCCGGCTGCCAGTGTGGTTCAGAGAGCAGCCAGGGTGGTCCATTGGTTGCCAGGGTGGTTCAAAGAGCAGCCAGGGTGGTTCAGAGAGCAGCCAGGGTGGTCCATTGGTTGCCAGGGTGGTTCAGAGAGCAGCCAGGGTGGTCCATTGGTTGCCAGGGTGGTTCAGAGAGCAGCCAGGGTGGTCCATTGGTTGCCAGGGTGGTTCAGAGAGCAGCCAGGGTGGTCCATTGGTTGCCAGGGTGGTCCATTGGTTGCCAGGGTGGTCAATTGGTTGCCAGGGTGATTCAGAGAGCAGCCAGGGTGGTCCATGGGTTTGTAAGGATAGTCCGTGGGGTTGCCAGTGTGAGTATTGAGGCTGCCAGGGTGGTTCAAATAGCAGCAAGGGAGGTCCGGATGCTATCAGGATAGTCCATGGGGCTTCTAGGGTGGATCAGGATGCTGTCAGAGAGGCTGCCAGTAGTCTAAAGTTGCAAATCAGGGGTGGCTGGTGGGACTCTGATCAAAGCGATCAGGCCTTTCCAGAACCAGTCATCTTTTACGGTTTCTGGGCAAGGAGTGAAAAGAGTCACTTTTGAAGACATGGCATGTATGTTAGCTAACAGAGCTATATGTGCAGCTGGTATAGGACAAGAATGATTTGCTGGAGCCTCAATACATCAGGATCGTTTGTGTACAAGTAGCACCATCTGAGTTTGTACACCATAGTGCATATGTCTTTCACAAGCCTTGAAGACTTGTAGCTGTTAGTGACGTAATTGTATGCCTATTCATTATTCATATCCTGACAAAAAACATTTTAGTTGATGTGGCTTATATAGTCGATTTCAATTTAACTCAAGAACTGTTAACAAGGAAGACTTTCAGATTTCATCTTTTATTCTTCCAGTGCAATGTTTTGGTACAGATGCTGGTACTGTTATCAAGAAAGTCATGTTCAACTAGATTTGGAATTGTGATATAATACAGCTTGCATAATGCCACTTAAAGATGTTATCGAAAAACCATTATAAGACAGACACACCTGCCAGTTTTTCAGTCCACTAGTCCTCATAATGATAACATATAGCAAAACCATTTTAAGATGGCAATTGTCTACTTGTCCTTATGATTCCTTAACAATGGGCAGTTTGGCATGGATTATAGGACAAGTGCCAATTTCAATCGATGCCTGCGTGGATTCTTCTCCACTTGAATGCCACATTATAAATTGATATTAATAAAAAATAAACTTCAAAACAAAGGACAATGGTCTGAAATTATAGAAAGCTCGAGGTTTTTGAGGATTTGTAGAAATGCTGACTGCCTGTGAATGTTCCCCAATGAGCCAAACCTGGGAGTCTGTCATTAATGAGTTTGTGAATGCTTGTAAGTTATTGTCATTGAATGATCGAAAGAGTGTGTTCATAGCCAGTTAGTTCTCCACAGACATTGTACCATGTAGGATGAATATGATTCTGGTTGAAATAAGACCTTAAGCAAGGATGTGGGTTATTTCCCCTTATGATGCGGATGGATCTGTTAACCAAGGGTGACCTTGTTGTTCTGTTTGTTCCGGGTTACTTCATCGTCATAAGAGCATACCGTATTCAACGTAATAAGTGCCCCGGGGCGCTCTCAAAATTAGAAATAGGGGGCTCTTATTAGAATATAATTTTGGGGAGAGAAAAAACAGAGTTGAAAGATTGTAAATTTCGTAGTTTATGCTGACAGTTTGAAATGATACAAAAGAAAAGTATGTGCATATCATACACGACAGATATATTTTCCAGAATTTAATTGCCCAATAATTAAGGGTGCATATAACACACGAATGCGGGTTATACACGAATAAATAAGTCTTGTGTACATTGATCAATCAGAAGGGGTGCTAATTGGGATTGTTCACTTGCCAATATAGTAGCAAATATCGCCGTGAGCGCTTATTACGTCGAATACGGTAAATGTCAGCTGAAAATAATTGGTTGTTCCTTTTGTAAATATTGTTATATGTTCTTTGACATTGAACCTGCTGTTTCCGGGTGTTACCTGATGGATGGAAATACACACACAAGTATGTTACAGCAATATGCATTCAGATCATGTCTAAGGCCAAATATAACAATATGTGTGTTTCCACTTTCAAGACTACTTCCTTGTAGATTTCAGCGCTATCCTGGTATTGTGCATATTTGTGGTGCTAACATAAATTAAGTACATTCTCCAGTATAATTCACAGAAAATGTCCATTTAGAAGGATCTTGTTTTGTAGTAAAACTGTCAGCAGGTCAGTGACGTGTTGTCAGCAGATATCCAGAGTTCCTCTACAATTGCAAGCTTGGCACAAGGCAGTAGCATTTTATCCATGGTCAAATGTGGTGTCTAGCCAGTATAAGAGGAACTATTTTATATCGCAAACATATTGGTATTCCTTTAAAGTAATATTGAAAACCTGGTCAAAATTGACCTGTTGTTCAATGGACAACGGAGCTATGTGGTGGAAGAGCTAAAGCAGGGGTTATTACATTACTGGATTTACATACTTTCTGCGGGGTAGAATAGGTCTTCAGCAACCCATGCTTGCCCTAAAAGGCCACTATGCTTGTCGTAAGAGGCGACTAATGGGATCGTGTGGTCAGGCTCGCTGACTTCGTTGATACATGTCATCATATCCCAATTGCATGGAGCGATTGCTCAAGATATCAATCACTGGATTGTCTGGTCCAGACTCGATTATTAACAGATCGCCGCCATATAGCTGGAATATTGCTGAGCGCAGCGTGAAACAACAAAGAAACAAACGTACTTTCTGCAACCGGAGTACCCAGATAAACCAGTCATTTTCTTTGTTTGAAAAAAAAATCAGGCTTTTTCTGATATACTGCACATTTACTGTTTTCAAAAGAAATTTTATTGTGAATTTCAAAGAATTCAAACTAAAAGAGAGAAAAAAAAGGAACTGTCCTATGTTGGATTGGATGATATGGGAAACACAGTCAGCAGATTAGGGACACAGTTTGACTAGGTCCCCAGCTACCAACATACCATGATATGAAGTATTAATGAATACGTATCACAATATTTGAAAAATTCTGGTATATTGGGGTTTACAAAATCATGCATCTTTTCGCAAAATTCACATAAGTGACAGCAATGGACAAGTCATATTGAAGTTATGGCAGCTGTTTCCTGCAATAGAAAAAGAAAACTTATTGCGACCAGTTTACTATACACTGTACATTGTATATATTATGTGTCTATAATGCATCCATTGTGACCATAGCAACTTCAAACAAGTTATGAAGTGATAAAAAATGTGCAGGGGAGTTTCAAAAGAAATTTAATTGTGAATTTCAAAGAATTCAAACTAAAAGAGAGAAAAAAATGGAACTGTCCTATGTTGGATTGGATGATATGGGAAACACACATAGTTTGGCCAAACAAACTAAACGATATGATGAACTGATTTTGTGTTTCTGCCTAACCTATTGCTGTTGTCGGCCTTTACGTTAAACCTGACATTGTTTTTGAAAGCATGTGAACCATATGCACGGTATCTTAACTACATATGATATTACTGTTACAGAACACATGAACTATGGGGGTAATTACCATGGTTACATGCTGTAAAGAGTAACAAGTTGAGTTTAATTTTTTTTTTTTTTTTTTTCAAGAAAAATACAAAAATTCATAATTTTTGTTTAATTGTTATAACCATGCATCTGATGTAACAAGTTACAGGCCCTGAAATGTATTCTGTTTGTACTTACAATATGTATGCTATTCCACCTCGACAGGGATACAGTTTGTGTACCCCAAGGGGCACCTGTGTTAGAATAAAGCCCCATTCACATGGACACTTTTACTTACGTGAGTATATATACTTACATAAGTAAATTTACTTATGGTGGCATGTGAACGCATTTGCTTACGTGAGTAAATATACTCCAGGAGTAAAGAGACATGAGTAAAAGTATATTTGCTACACCTGATGAGGTCTAGTAAAAGTATATTTATTCATAAGTATAAATGCTCCTGGAGTATTTCTGGTCATGTGAACAGATTCTCTATTTGCTTACGTAAGCATATTAAATCCAAGATACTGATGATCAGGAAAATACAGCTGTAGTTCCTTGCAAAGAACATAACATGGTCATAAAATGTTTCGCGTGTCATGAGAGATTATCGATCCACAGTTTATCATCAAATGATCGTTTGACAACATTGTTCCACCAGTGTTGAGAACGTTCTCTCTTCCACAGTTCTCTTTCCTGGCATAATCCTAAGACTAATCCCATACTAAGAAAGTATGGAAAGTCTCTCTTTCGCCTCTGGTTGACTATCTTCGACAGCGACATGGCGTCAAGTGATTAAAGTCCACAATTTATTTATGAAATGATGTTTACTTCTGCCTTGCATAAACTTCATGTGAACGCAATGTAAATATACTTTTGCTCACATGAGTAAATTTGCTTACATGAGTAAATGTTGTCCATGTGAATGGGGCTTAAGTCAGCAGATTGGGGACCCAGTTTGACTAGGTCCCCAGCTACCAACATACCATGATATGAAGTATTAATGAATACGTATCACAATATTTGAAAAATTCTGGTATATTGGGGTTTACAAAATCATGCATCTTTTCGCAAAATTCACATAAGTGACAGCAATGGACAAGTCATATTGAAGTTATGGCAGCTGTTTCCTGCAATAGAAAAAGAAAACTTTTTGCGACCAGTTTACTATACACTGTATATATAATGTGTCTATAATGCATCCATTGTGACCATAGCAACTTCAAACAAGTTATGAAGTGATAAAAAATGTGCAGGGGAGTTTGTTTTTTTATTCAGGTTCATAACCAATACAGAAGGAAGATCACATAGAGAATCTACTATATTTTGTGGTATGTATCACAATAAATGAATTATTATTGCAATAAATTGCAATATGAAATTCAGGCCAAATCACATCACTATGACTCCATCACACTATAGCAATGGATTGTTTGGATAGTCTGGTTATGTAAGTTGGATCGTTGTGTGTCATGGTGCCATGGCATGGGGTGTTGCTCATAATGTCAACCACTGGTTTATCTGTCAACGATTCCATTATCAACAGGCTAGCTGGAATATTGCTTACTGAAAACAAATACAACATGGTTGGAGCTGAATCAGTTGATACTGCAGAACTGATGTATTTTCATGTTTAGTTGAGTTTGGCATAAGTACACGTGTGTTGTGGTGCTCTCAGTGTCGCCATCAAATGTACAGAGACTTTACCACTGGTTACAGAGCTTGTGTAATACAGTTGGGCAGGGATATATAGTGATTAGGTATATTGGTAATGAGGCCTCTCTTTTTTCTCTTGGTTTTCTGATTTTCCCTGCAAAAATTTAAAAATATATATATATATATATATAATTCTGACATGGCAAAAAAAGCTACCCTGAATGTGGCTAACTACCAGTTACTGTCAACACTGCATGTCATTTAAATCATTACAGAAGTAGTTTCTTAACAGTAGCAAGTTTTTATGGCAAGTTGCCTCCTTACTTGGTTGTAAGATTCTAGAAAAACATACAAAAGAGTTAGGTTATGATAATTATTTTATTTTTTTTGCATTTTCTGAGTATTTTGGGTAGGAAGAGCCGTAAACCAAATGTTTAGAAAAGAGGCCTGATTTGTTAAGCATGTTCAGTTTTTAGGTTACATCTTTTAGGGTGTGTTAACAATGATGCCTCTCCAGTGTTCTACCGCAACTGATTGGATGCAAGCAGTGGGAAATAAAATGGAAAATATGACATTGAAAACTATTTTAATGAATTGTGAAGATCCTGCACATGTTTTACAAATGCTCCAAATTTGTTCATGATTTATGATGTATTAATTTTCTGTTATTACAATTGTTTATCAACATGTGACCTTTCATTTGTTATCAATTGTATATGATACAATGGTAATTAAAAACAAGATGAATATTTGCTGGTCTTCTGTTTGTGTTTTTGCTTGTAGGCTACCATTGTCAAAAGATACCAGAGTGAGTGAGTGAGTTGGGTTTTAAGCTGCTTTTAGCGGCACCTCATTCCAGTTATATCGCGGTATTGCAGTTATATTGCGGCCTGTCAGCTTAATGTGGGAGGAAAGCCCGAAGTGATGCAGGTCTCAGATGTTTACCACTTCAGTGAAACCCACAAGCATGGGTATGATGGTGACAAACCTAGGAACATAATCGGGGCGAACCGGGATTCAAACCCACAATCATAAGGTTCTGCCGTGCCCAAGGGAAGCAACTCTGCACAGCGAATTGCCTGTGTTGCCTTAAGACGTCTGGGCCACCTGTGCCCCCAAACTTACTTGTAAGTCTGACTGCAGAATATTCACTTTTGAAACATGGCTTGTGATTGGATGATGACAATATTTTATAAAAGGGATTGCAACAACCTCTCTCAGTGGCTGCTTTGATAACTTCCTTGATTTTAATGGCTGTTCCCACATCAGAAGTATTTTTAGTATTCTGGACATTGTTTCAATGATCATTGGTCACACATCTCACAACTCATGCTTGCCGTAAAAGGCGACATAATCAGGGTGATTCACACCCACAATCATAGGTTTCTGGCGTGCCCAAGGGACACAACTCTGCACAGTGAATTGCGGCCCCTTAGACGACCAGGTCACCCGTGCCCCCCGTGCCCCAAAAAGATACCAGAGACTGATGACGTCTATAATGATTACCAACAGTGAAGCCTAATGAGAATCCGGGTTAGGATTGGTTCCAACCTATGCTGGTTGTAAGAAGTGACTTTACTTGGTTGCTTTCATATTACCCTGACAGCATGGGTCACTGCTCATAATATCGATCCCTTATTTTGTCTGGTCCAGACTTGTTTGTTTACAGGCCACAGTCATGACGGGAATAATGCAGAGTGTGGTGTTTAACAACAAGCAAACAATATTGTAGAGTGCGGCATGAAACAACAAACAATATTGCAGTGTGTCGCAACACAAACAAGCAATAGTGTAGGAAAACCTGCACTCTCCTGATGGCCGTGACAGTTCAAGAGAACCAGTGAGTGAATGAGTTTAATTTTAAGCTGCTTTTAGCAATATTACAGCAATATTCCAGCAATATCATGACAGGGGACACCAGAAATGGGCTTTACACATTGTACCCATGTCCAGAATCGAACCCGGGTCTTTGGCATGACCAGCGAACGCTTTAACCACTAGGCTACCCGACCGCCCCTCTAGAGAACCAACATTTACATGGTTATCAGATAATTCAATGTTATGCATATGTTGATAAAGTGATGCAGCTGTCTTGAAATTTGAAATGAAAATCCCATTCTTTAATGGCAAATTAGGTAAAAAGCTCCCTCTGGTATGTGCAGGCCACCTCATTTGGCGAAAACGGCACCTCTATTTTTAATAACGAAGAGAAGGATTCATGCAGTAGTATATATATATGCTTTATTAACATGCTTTACCAGCCTCTGTGGGTGTCAAACGTCCTCGACAGCAGAAATGACGTCATCATCATTTGCATAATGTTTGCCAGTTTGGGAAGACGGTGCCAAATCTGGTTTGTTTGTTTGTTGTTTAACGCAGCACTCAGCAATATTCCAGCCAAATCTGGTAAACACGGAGGATGTTCAAAGATTTCAAAGCCACAGTCATGCCTTGCATCTATGGCGACAACAGGCGTGTGTACAGGTGCATTGTCCTGGTGAAACACAACACACCTTCAGTGAATTTTCCAAAACGTTTAGCCTTCATATTGTCATGCGGTTCCCTTGGTAGATTACCATAATTTGGGCCATTAACTGTCTGACCTTTCGGGAGGTAGTCCGCTTGGAGGATTCTTTTGCAATCCCAAAAAAACGAATCCATCACCTCACCAGCTCATGGTTGGTTGTTTGTTGTTTAACGCCGCTCTCAGCAATATTCCAGCTATATGACGGCAGTCTGTAAATAATCGAGTCTGGACCAGACATTCCAGTGATTGACATCATAAGCATCGATCCATGCAATTGGGATTCGATCGAGGATATGTATCAACCAAGCCAGCGAGCCTGACTACCCGATCCCGGTAGTCCCCTCTTACGACAAGCATAGCTGCCTTTTACGGCAAGCATGGGTTGCTGAAGACCTATTCTACCCTGGATCTTCACGGGTCTTCGGAGGGGGAGACGTTTGACGTTTGATGTTTCCAGTGCTTTGACCGTTGTTTAGTCTCTGGCTGATATAGTGGTGAAACTAAGACACATTTATGGTTCTCAAATCGATCAACAATATAATCTTGGTCTGTTTGAAGACGACGTAAATTCACACGACAGACAATGGACCTGGGCCCACTTGCACAAAGCGATCTTAGCGCAGCGACTATTGTAAAACTATGTTAAAGTATTGGCGTTACGATCATCTTAGCGCTAAGATCGCTTTGTACAAGTGGGCCCTGGAGTCTGAGTCTGGGAACCCTGCTATACAATGTAGATATCGCTTGATCTCACCCAAACGATATATCCTGTGGGAGCCAGTTTTGGATGATAAAGAATTATATTATTTCAATTTGCCTCCTCAAACCTGCAAAGCAAGACATGTTGCCAGACAATACATGCTTTCTCTGCCTGCGAGGGCCAGCAATATATTGCCATCGCCGGTTGTGTCTAAGTGGTTGCTATCTCTTCTTCTTGGAGGTGAGGTGAGGTGAAATGGGGTTTAACGTCGCGTCCAAGATTATGGCACTTATATTGCGACGTGCATGCACGTGTGTGTGTGTGTGTGTGTGTGTGTGTGTGTGTGTGTGTGTGGCTGCTTGTACTAGTCCGGACTGATGCCGATTTATAGTGCTAGCACACTGAGATACCATGCCGCAGTGTAACATGAATACCCCACTCAGACACAGTATACAGACTCCGAGCCGACCAGTCCTTGTTTTAGCCCCTTAATGCCGAGCGCCAGACAGGGTAACAACAAGTACCCTATTTTAACGTCTTTTGGTATGACGCGGCCGGGGATCGAACCCCATACCTTCCGCTCACCGGGCGGACGCTCTACCACTAGACCACGGAGGCGGTCCTCTCTTCTTCCAAGCTGTATATTCCCTGATATGTTTGATAAGGACTTGATGAAGCAGCTGAAATTACCTGTTCTAGAAATACATATTGCAGATCAAGTATCAATCACAATTCAAATTTCAAGAATTTCCTGGTTCTTTTATTTGAGCAGCTATTTGTTAAGCACACCGCTCATTATGCATGGGATTCACAACAGATGCATGGCTTGTGGTTTTATCAGAGTGGTAAATGTCAATGGCCTGTGGCATTAAGCTGACATTCCGTGGTGTTGCTGAAATGGTGAATATGACGGTATGAAAATACACTCATTCTCACACGTGGCTATAGATTGGCTGGGTTCTAAAGTGTGTTTGTTGTTTAGCGCCGGACTCAGCAATAGTTCATCTGTGTGACGACACCCTGTAAATAACCGTATCCGGACCAGAAATCCAATGGTTGATATTATGAGCAACGATTCACGCCATCGTAGATTGAAGACGCACAATCCGCCAAGTCACAGAGCCAGCCCGTCTGCGCATTCGCCATTCTATATATACGCCTCGAACGACAAGCATAGGTTGCTGTGGACCTGTCCTAACCCCGACTCCCACAGGGCGAATCATTGCAGTGCGAACGGAAAAGACCCAGTAATGTGAGTGAATGTTGTTTAACTCACCAATTAGAAACGTTTCAGCTTAGAAGTGGGGTTAGGCTGAGGTGCCGCTATTCACTATGCAGTTGCATGCATAAGGCGTGACAGATCGTAGGTTCAAATCATTCATTCACTCACGCAGGCAGGCACGCACTCACTCATGTCCATTCAAATAGTTGAACAGATGAATTCTAAAAACGGTGTTTATAACAATTTATTTGTTGTTTAACTCCGCACTTGGCAATTTTCCAGCTATATGACGGCGGTCTATAAATATTCGAGTCTGGATCAGACAATCCAGTGATTTATATCATGAGCACCAGTCTACTTATTTGGGATGCGATGACATGCATCAGCCAAGTCAGCTGCCTGACCACCCGATTCCGTTGTCGCCGCTTACGAAAAGCATAGTCGCCTCTTACCGCAAGCATGGTTGCTGAAGATCTATTCTGCCCGCTATGGAAAGGGTTTTGTCGCATTTATTATTGTTATTATTATTTTACGTTTTTAAAGTAACATGTCAGACTTGTGTTTAAATCAGGGTAGATGTTATTTCCAGAGCATAACTCATGACCTGTTCAATTTTTCATTGTGAACCTCTGTATACACATAAGGCAAGTGCTGAAGTGTGCATTATAGTTTTCAGGAAACTTGTTCAGTAAAACTGTTTTTGTAGCCAAACTCATAAAACTATCATTATTTCTCCATGAAACAGCGCATTTATCAGGCAAGTTAAAGGACTGGTGTATCCCCATTGCATACAAGAATAGAGGCATACTCGATTATCCAGTGTATCATATTTCCATTACTTTATGGAATAAATATATAATACACTGGATAATCAAGGGTGGAACGTCGATATGTGCTGGGGACTTCCTGTTCTTTTCGTAAAGCGTGGTTTCGGTTCCTATTTCCAGACTATAGTTCCTACTTTTATAAACAACCGATTCATTTAGAATAACTTCCGGTTTCTAGAGACGTAGAATTAGAAGGTTGTTTTGATTAGGAAATATCATCAAGTAAGGTTATTTAATGAGTGGGTAAGTACTTTTTCGATGCACTTGTTGTCGTAACGACATATTAGACACAAACTCTATCTTTTTTTTGTATCCGAGAGGAAGGTAATGTGACGAGAATATCATTCGAGTGTAAGGAAATAAAAGATTTCATATTTTTGCGACTCAAGGATTGCAGTGTGGCCTCTGTGTGATCAAGTGTGTGACCTACATCAGAAGAAAATGTCGGAAACATAGGCCCCAAACAGAGATGTATAATATGGACATGATCACAGTCAATGTTAGGCGTGTTAAGTGAGAAAAAAACGTCCGTTCTCATCCCTAATGAGCAAAGCGTCATACAGGCCAGATATATTCCCAACAATAAATGTGTCTTCGAAATATGTAAAGTATCATGTTTATTGTTTCAGATGTTTTCTTGACATAAAACTTGTTAATAATTGGACAATATGGTATCCCAAATTCTACATTGCTCGCCCTGATCCTACACCTCAAACATGTCAAACAACAAACATCTTAAAGAAATTAGTCTTCTGCAGGGGCAGTAATTTCACTTTATTTCCACTGGTCCACAAGAACGTATCAGATACAGAATTGTCGGGAGTAGTGCACTTCACCTGGGGCACTTTTTCAGATCCAATTTGTGCTGTGGGGTCTCGAACGCTGGCTTACCAGTTTGGCCAATTAGTGCATTACTTAGCTGATGCTGGACCAGTGGACCATTTTGAGGAATTCACACATCAAAATGAGTAACCAGTCGAGTGACAAAACCTGTTAAAGCGAAATACTCTCATAGGATAACCCTCATTGGATTGTTGGAAACACAGTGAAATGGTAAATATTTATGGTTAACCCTAGCCCTCACCAGGCTAACCCTAAGAATCAATAAGGAGTGTTGGTTAGGAAAGGCAAGTCAGCTACCTAAGATCAAAAAGGGGTGTTGGATCGCCAAGGCGTGTCAGCCCCTAAGATCGAAAAGGGGTTTTGGATCGCCGAGGCGTGTCAGTTCCCTCAGATTGAAAAGAGATGTTGGATCACCAAGGCATGTCAGCTCCCTGAGACGAGTATGAGTGCATTCGAGTGTGAGCCACAGTTACAGTATAGCAACGCAGTGGTAGTGTTATAGCACGGTAATTGAGCTGTTGGTAGCGGGTGAAGCTGCGCCCGGTAAACTGCATTGTTGCCAAATTGTCATATACCTAAACGTTAAACTGATAGTTCCCAAGGAAATTTCCCTAGCCCTTCCTGAAGCGGACTTGTGTTAATTTCGAAAACCTGATCTTGGAGATGTGAATTTCATTTGGTTGTATTTAAACACTGTTACTTATGACATGATGATTGATATGTTGCATTTAATATAATATTAAGAATCATGTGAATAAATTATGTGAGCATATAAAAAAGTTGTCACAACACATGAAGATGAAGTATACCATATATACATTTTGCATACTGACACTGTATTTTAAATTAGTTAACAATGCAATACAAATGTAACAAGGACACAGGAAAAGGTTACTCAACACAGGAGAACTACCCACTTAGTTAAATAAAACAAGGTGAGGTGGAATGGGGTTTAATGTTGCGTTCAAGATTATTGGACTTATATACTGACATGCATGTGTGTGTCTGTCTGTCTGTCTGTACTAGTCCGGACTTATGCTTATTTTATAGCCTTGGTCCACTGAGATACCATGCAGCAGTTTTACATAAATACCCCACTCAAGACACGACCCGTCCTTGTTTTAGCCTCTTACTGCCGAGTGCCAGGCAGGGTAACAAGTACCATCTTTTAATGTCTTCTGGTATGACTTGGGCTGGGATCGAACCCTGGAGCCTCCGCTCTCCGGGCAGACACTCTATCCACGAGACCACTGAGGCGGTCTAATTAAAACAAGCTGTGAGTGACGCATTTAGCAATATTCCAGCAATATCAAGGCGGGGGACACCAGAAATGGGCTTCACACATTGTATGCATGCCTGACGAGCTAATGCTTTAACCACTAGGATATCCAAAAAAACAAAACAAGCTGTGAACACATAATGAATGCAAGTCAAGTAAGCATGTTAAGTCTTGGTGAGTAAATCAAACAATGTTCAGTATGTTTAGGCATGGTAGGTGATAAATGAGTTAAAGGGTGTTCTTTTTACATGTTTTCAGCACTAGCATGCTGTTATTCACAAGCGAGCGCGCTGCTCTCCCTCCATTCCAATGTTAATCTACATGGTTGTGTTTCGTCTGGAGATCTCGGACGACTGCGATTTTCCCCAGGCCTTTCAACACTACTGTGGTGAGTTAAATATCACTATTGGTTTCAGTAATCCGTGTTGGAGATTTGGAGAATAGCCAACAAGGCCAACGAGCTACCAGCAATTATCTGTCTCGAGAAAATGAAAGGTGTTTATCCCAAGCCTTTGGCGTATGGACTTTCAGCATTCTTTCACGAGGGGCAGATGATCCATAATTCCGTTCTCATTGTTATTCTAGATATTACTCATGGACATTTTAAGAGAAAATGAGACCCGTGAAGATCTGGGTAGAGAATAGGTCTTCAGCAACCCATGCATGCTGTTGGAGGTGACTTTGCTTGTCTTAAGAGGCGACTAACGGGATTGGGTGGTCAGACTCACTGACTTGGTTGATGCATGTCATCGTATCCCAATTGTGTGGATCAATGCTCGTGATGTCAATCACTGGATTGTCTGGTCCAGATTTGCAGATTTACAGACTGATGTCATATAGCTGGAATATTGCTGAGTGTGGTGTTAAACAACAAAAAAACAACAACATGGTTGAGTATTGGAGTTATGATAAGTATTCAAATCAACTGAATTTATGAATTTATCAAATTTTTTTCTTCTGATCAGGGATTTATCTATGATTCAAAACTAAGCATCGTCATGATCCTCGGCAGGCAAATTGGGAAGAATCTTTATTTCATTCAAAATTGGGATTTTAATGTTCTTTTTCCCCCTAAATTTAGAATTCTTTTGCTATTGAATTTTACATTGCATTCAACATGTTCAATGCAATATTTTGAAACTTAGCAGTAAAGTCTCCTTCTCTATACTGGTCCTGTTATCAGTGAAATACAAGTCACCTCTACTTAGCCATAGTATTAGATGGAACTATAACAGCATGACTTTAGAAATGTGTAATTCCAGTTTGGGAATATATACCGACATTTACTGCAGACTTGGAGCTGAACATAAGCCTCTTAGCAGGTCTAGATAAATCCCTGCTAATAGATGCACCACTTGTTAATATTGTTCACATAATAATCACCCGAGATGCATTGGTGGTCCAGCGTCTATTTGCCTCTTTTGCTTGACCGTAAATTAGGGACAATTCATTATGGTCAATTTAATTGGTGATAATTCATTAAATCGATTTACTTTTATCATGGTTATACTTGACCAAGCATCTTTTTGAAACATGGCCTCTTTTCTTCCAATTTTATTTTGACCTTTTGGTGGTCCTGCAGCTGTTAGGGGAAATATAAGCATAGTGAACTTTGAGGCTTGAGGTATTTCACAATACAGGGGTAGATACCGTTGGTCATATCCAACTCATTTATGACTTGTGACTTATGCAAAATAACTAGATTTAGGAGAAGTCCCTAGATTTTCACTAGTTTTAGACTAACAGACAAGTGGTTGCGTCTATCACTGCTATACATGCTATATATGTTGTTTGCCAAATAACATTATTACCAGGCCTCAAAGTTGCGACTAAAACAGTCGCAAATGTGACCTAAATTTCAATTTGTCTACTGTCTAAGATTCAGAGGTAGCCAAATGACTACCTTGAAACACATCTTGTGGCGACTAAATTCTATTGCTACACATATGTAGACACAAAAATAAACATGTCTGCTACTAATTGTACTGGCAAATAATTCCTCCTAAAGTCAACAATGAAACGAAATACACATAAATATTAATGTAATTAGTATTTTATTTTAGTCGATAGTTTATTGGATGAGCAAGGATATACCTATATAATCTAGTAACATAAATTGCATCATTGTTTGAGTCACAAATAAAAAAACTCAAGTACAGTTTCCACTAATATACAATTCCAAGACTAGTGCTATGACTTGTACATATAATAGTTATTTGATAAAAGATAACTTAAAATGCTTTTGGCTACCTACAATATTGGCTTAATTTCTTGATTTTACCACTGGCTCTCTGGAAAAAAATACTTGTGGCCATATGGCTACTTGGTAAAAATTTAAACTTTTAGGCCTGATTACTGGGTGTTCATGTTACAGGTGGGGGGTACAGGTTGCCCAGTCGTCTTAAGATGGCGCACTTCTCTGTACAAACTCGCGTCCCTTACACATGTCAGAAGCTGAGTCGCCTGATTATCCCTCAAGGTTTGAGCACCAACTGTGCTTGTGGGTTTCACCAAAGTTGTAAATGTCTAGGATCTACTTCAGTTCAGGCTTTCCTCCCACATCAAGCTGGCATTTTGTGATGTACAGTAGAACACGGATAGAGCAAACAAACGGATACAATGAACTGTTAAAAATCCCCGATTTATCTCCTATATATCATCATGTTAAATGTGCATATATAACAAACTCTCTACAGCGAACTGACGTATACAGCGAACTGATGTGTGATCCATGACAAGCCCAAATACCACTAATTAATGACGTGTTTAACGAATTGAAAGAGGCGAATAAGAGGTGAATCAACACAATCACGGCGAATCAAATCAATCAGCGGTAATGATTCAACCTTGTTAAACTTGCTTTATGTTAATCTAACCTGTAAGACAAACATAAATTTCACAAAATTGTGTCGAAGTGTCACTTCACTTGCTATCATGGCAGGCAATGCGGGAATTACGTGTATTGTGTATTACGCGGACATTTCTGAGCGAATACTTATATAAGGAACAACGTATATATCGTTTGATAGGCCTTACTTAGAAGTTGACGGATGACAAAGTAGATACAATTTATGGATAACAACTTCTTGAATACTATAAAGTATTTGTTTCGGTACAGATCCTTATACCGTTCAAGCAAAGAAAGAGATACATAGTACAGAATATATATAGTAGGTGGAGGATTAACAGTAACAACAATAGCGGGGAGTGGGAGAACATGAGTAAGTAATGACAGCAGAAGGATACTACTGTCACAACACGATGGACAGAGAACACATAGGTGGAAGCCAATGGGACATGAAGCCAGTTAGACAGGATAAGTTTGTATAGGTGTAGTGATTATTGTTTAATGAGTTCATAGGAGGCAGATGGGATGAAATAGCCTTGATCTCTGTTGATTGATCTCTTGTGGCGGCCAATGTGGACTGCTTCTATTAGTTTTCTTCTAGTGAAATCATGGAGGTTGTTGGAGAGGATTTGGACGTTGTCCCAGTTGATCTTGTGATTAGGGCAGTTCATATATCGAACTGATTTCTCCGGTCCTTCCAGTTCATTACATCATGTTCTACTGTAACTGAAATACTGCACAAAGTGTCAGTAAAACCAGACCCCTGAAGATCCGGGGTAGAATAGGTCCAATTAACCAACCAAAGTAAAACCAGACCCGTGAAGATCCGGGGTAGAATAGGTCCAACTAACCAACCAAATTAAAAAGACCCCTGAAGATCCGGGGTAGAATAGGTCCAACTAACCAACCAAAGTAAAACCAGACCCATGAAGATCCGGGGTAGAATAGGTCCAACTAACCAACCAAAGTAAAACCAGACCCATGAAGATCCGGGGTAGAATAGGTCCAACTAACCAACCAAAGTAAAACCAGACCCATGAAGATCCGGGGTAGAATAGGTCCAACTAACCAACCAAAGTAAAACCAGACCCATGAAGATCCGGGGTAGAATAGGTCCAACTAACCAACCAAAGTAAAACCAACTCCCCGACTCCCCCATGTTGCAGCCCCAGGCTATAAGGAGAGGCAGGCCACTGATGAGTCCAAGCTGAGCTATGCCTCGGTGCTGTCCCCGACTACTGTAACATCCTCCCCAGAAGAAGCCAGCAACTACAGAACACCAGAATCTCTCCAGGCCCAGGTGTCAGAACATCGAGGTCTCAGGCTCCTGGATGATATAACCCTTGAGAGTTTTGATTTCAAAGGTGAGCTTTTCACACACAATGTCCAAGTGCTTAGGCATGTGAGACGATTCCTTTTGGTATTTAGCAACATGCATTTAAACCTTCTCTATTGTCATGATTTATGAGACGTTTATGATTTATTACAGCTATATATTCCCACATATTTATCAAAAAGAACTTAAATGCACTGAAGACTGTTGATCAAATTTCTGGTTCAACCAATCTCTGTGAAGGTTTGTTTGTTTTTTTTGTTTGATTTTAATTTAATGCTACGCTTAGTAATATTCAAGCTATATGTTACTAGTCTAAATAATCGAGTCTGGACTAGACAATCCAGTGATTGACTTCATGAATGTCACTCTACGCAATTGGGAAACCACTCGATCCATTTAGTTGCTCTTACAATCAGTATTGGTTGCTGGGGACCTATGTTCTTACTTAGAATCCCCATGGGTGTCTTGAAGCAATGTTCTTATTTATATGTAGACATTCTTCATGGTGATTGTCTGGAAGTCAGGGCTTCACTGCCATTACAGTTTGAAATGACAGGGGTCCTCATGTCCTTGTTTGATGCTATAGTATTTATATCTAGGGACACTTCAAATCTCGGGATACTTCAAATATGGAGGTACTTTAAACCTGGGGACTCTTCAAATCTGAACTTCTCACATTTCTAAGGCTAGAATGCTCATCCCCTGACTTCCATTCATAATTTCAAATACTGAATTGTTTAAAACCATTCTTTGATCAATGAGAGCAGCGCTATCATTCACAGACTAATATTCGTAATGATAAAACTGTATGGATTCTCTATTTCAGACATACTTTTATCCGTGGCAGACATGGAGGTCATGAAACAGAAATCTGGCAAAGAAAAAGAGAAGACCCCAGATGCAGTACAAAGTCCTGGACCATCCAAAGGTCTGATTGACAGCACCGAGACCCCATTTAAGCCAGTACCCTCGAGTGATGCCAAGCCTGTGTTTGAGAGGGCGGGAAGCGCGAGACCCAAGAGTCACAGTCCGACGTCCCACATGCCCTCCGCCATTCACTTCTTCAGCGGCAACCCATGTGTGGAGATCACTAAGGGCATCCTGCACATATACAAGGACAGGTAGGGCTCTCTGTGTTGTGGTGGTGTTTCTGATGATTGACTTGGTTGTTGTGTTGTCATCCTGCCTTTATGATCGGGAGCACATGTGTCATAGTCATCCATTATTCTCACCCACCCACCCACCCACCCACCCACTCACTCACCCACCCACTCACTCACTCACTCACTCACTCACTCACTCACTCACTCACTCACTCACTCACTCACTCACTCACCCACTCACCCACCCACCCACCCACCCACCCCACCCCACCCCACCCCACCCTAGCTTCCCCAAACTTACCCCACCCCACCCTAGCTTCCCCAAACTTGCTACACTTAACAATCAGTCTCAGTAGTAGTGCCTTTTTCTATTTAGAGATTTTTAGAATTATATATTTTTGTCGTTTCCATGGAAATATGATGAAATTTGAGGGTAGTGCTCTTGTCCGGACCATATCTCCCGAACCATACAACTTAGCTTCTCAAAAGTTTTTACACCAGTCAAGCAGGTTATGTAGTGGTGCCTTTCCTATTAACAGATTTTTGTTGTTTTGTTTGTTTAAATTGATGAACTTAGGGTAATGTCCTCTTTGGATGACTCTTGTTTAGTTTTGTGGGCACAGTGTCTATCTATATCACTGATATGATAATAATGCAGGTTTTCCTCTGTCCTGTCTGTAGATTGTTCTGTTACTGCGGTCTTGTTGTTTCAGTGAGCGTACATCCCTGGATGAGGGTGTTGCTAGGAGTGAGATGATCTGCATGCTGGGGGTCCCGGCCTCGCACACCATACACGACCTGCTCATGTTTGCCGCTCCCATGAGGTGAGTGACAACAAATACACAGGGTGGAACATGTTCGCCAGAGGGGATCGTGGAATAGTGCAAAATATACCCTGAACTAGACGGAATAAAATGTTGCACCAAACATACTATGATTATTTGTTTATTTCTCGTAACATTTTGGTTACATGTAGAATTATGCAGCAATCTTTTTTATTTCATGACCTCAGTTCCTACTTTTAGATTCAAATGTTAATTCTCACAACTGTTCACATATATAACAACCTATGTTGTGCTCATTCTAGGGACTTTATACAACTTCTTTGTTATTTTCTATGGAAACAGTTTGGCTGATATGACCAGTCTAACAGAATTGAAAAAAAAACCATAATCAATATTTGGTCATGCAACATTGCCAATGTATATTTACATAAGTATTGTTCATGTTGTTCAGATCAGGTAATTTTGATATGATTGAGATTAAGACTGTTATTTCCATTGAAATGAAGGATATGAATGAAAATTGCATTTCTTCAATTCAACTTAAAATGAGTTCAGCGTTCAGCATCTGATCTGCTGTAATATCAACATGTTTATTTTTAGCTCATCATCTACGATAGAGTACATGAGGATCATCCGATGTTCAATCCCAAACCAGTACATGGTGTTGCTCAAGTTTACTGATCAGGTGAGAAAACTTTCTGGAAATTTCATGTTACAGTCAGCAGGGGCTGTGTGTCAGTCACTCCCTGTGTTACATTCAGCAGGTGCTCTATGTCAGTCACTCCCTGTGTTACATTCAGCAGGTGCTCTATGTCAGTCACTCCCTGTGTTACATTCAGCAGGTGTACATTCAGCAAGTGCTCCATGTCAGTCACTCCCTGTGTTACATTCAGCAGGTGCTCTATGTCAGTCACTCCCTGTGTTACATTCAGCAGATGCTCTACGTCAGTCACTCCCTGTTACATTATGCAGGTGCTCTACGTCAGTCACTCCCTGTGTTACATTCAGCAGATGCACTACGTCAGTCACTCCCTGTGTTACATTCAGCAGGTGCTCTATGTCAGTCACTCCCTGTGTTACATTCAGCAGGTGCTCTATGTCAGTCACTCCCTGTGTTACATTCAGCAGGTGCTCTATGTCAGTCACTCCCTGTGTTACATTCAGCAGGTGCTCTACGTCAGTCACTCCCTGTGTTACATTCAGCAGGTGCTCTACGTCAGTCACTCCCTGTGTTACATTCAGCAGATGCTCTATGTCAGTCACTCCCTGTGTTACATTCAGCAGGTGCTCTACGTCAGTCACTCCCTGTGTCACATTCAGCAGGACAATCCATAAAAATGGCAAATTTCTACTAGTCCTTATGATACCTTAACTATTGGGCAGTTTGGCAAGGACTACAGGTCTCGTGTCAACTTCTAAAGCTGGATTGTTACTCATGTTTTCAATCACTGCTGTTCTTGGTCAAGACTATTGTTATGAGCTACAATATTACTGATTGTGACATAAAATAATAGTCACTCATTCACTTACATAATCTATATCATCTTTGTCATGCTCTGTTGACAGAAATCAGCTGACGAGTTTTACACCCACTTCAACAACCGTCCGTTCAACTCCATCGAGACCGACATCTGCCACCTGGTGTATGTAGCGAAGGTGGAGATTATGAAGGAATCAGAGGTAACCATGGTAACCATTAGGACTGCACAGAGTAACCGGTACACTGCAATACGTTGTTCAAACGATCTGTATTGCAATATGTTTCCTCTTCCGGTATAATTGTTAAACATAATATGTCAAGTTTTATTATTATTTGTATTGTTTAAATCTAAAATTTACGCAGAAATTCATTCACAAATGATGTTTCGTTGTGAAATCGATTGACAAAATGGCAGAAACAGAGAAGTGTCTTTTCTCCCACGTTGTTATCTCCCCTGTATCCATGACTACAAAATGGCGGCAACTGACCATGCTGAGTAATCATGGTAATAGTTACTTCACTGTAAAGAAAATATTATCTGCGCGTACAATCATATAATCCAGACTTGAATACATGTATTTAGAGGAAGCTGTCATATAGCTGGAATATTGCCAAGTGTAGTGTTAAAGAACCAATGAACCAACTCTACATATACAGTGGTCCCTCGACTTAACGCTCCTCGATGTACCGCTACTCCGGATGCACCGCTTTTATTGCGGCACTTAGAAAAAAGTGACAGATACGAACAACTTCACATAATGCAAGTTCGCTGCATACTTCCACAACTGAGAACAGAGGAACGTGACAGTAAGAAACAAACGAAAATCAGTGACTTATTTAGTAAATAAAACCTCATGTACACACACCGGTTGCATGGTATGAATGTATCAACGCAACATTTTCCCTGTGCATAATTATCATTGATAATAGAACTAAATTTATCTCTCATCCACTCAAATCTACGTTTGTGTTTGTTTGATTTTTATAAATTGCTCATAACTTTGACACGTCATTATTTATTAACCAATCACAGCCTTGGTCGCACATTAGTTTCGTTACAAGGCTTGTTCGGCTTTGTAATGTACTGTCATCGATCAATAATGTGAGTAGGTCGGCAATTGGACCAATTTTCTTCCGAAAAACTTAAAATATAACAACACTTATTTAGATTCTACATGTATAACATCCAGTCATAAAATAATACAGACTGCTTTGATTAATTTACACAAAGTATTTTTATTTTTTTATGCATGCATTTTGAATCATCGTCCACGATCAGTGTTACATACATCTACATGTCCAATGCCACTATGAAATAATTGCGCCACTGTTCCATTCACTACCATCATTACGTAATGTGAACCTCAGCAAGGAATATCTGTACAAAGCTCTTTCCTAGAACACGGGGTCAGTTTCTTGGACCCTGATAACAGCGGTATATCGAGGGATCACTGTATTAAAGTACTTCAGGACCTATGTGAACCAGCTGACTACATTGCCTGTCTAATACAGGCTGCTGATCATGTACAGTGTCGGGTTAATGAACCCGTCAACCAACTCTACATATATTAAAGTACTACAGGACCCACGTGAACCAGCTGACTACATCACCTGTCTAATACAGGCTGCTGATCATGTACAGTGTCGGGTTAATGAACCCGGCAACCAACTCTGCATATATTAAAGTACTACAGGACCCACGTGAACCAGCTGACTACATCACCTGTCTAATACAGGCTGCTGATCATGTACAGTGTCGGGTTAATGAACCCGTCAACCAACTCTACATATATTAAAGTACTACAGGACCCACGTGAACCAGCTGACTACATCACCTGTCTAATACAGGCTGCTGATCATGTACAGTGTAACGTTAATGAACTCATCAACCAACTCCACATATATTAAAGTACTACAGGACCCACGTGAACCAGCTGACTACATCACCTGTCTAATACAGGCTGCTGATGATGTACAGTGTGGGTAATGATGACTGATGTGATGGTGTCTGTTGACTGTCTTGTGTTTAGTGATGCAGTCAGTAACTGACCATGATGTTTCAGGGTGCCACCCTTCCTGTGCCAGGTCTGCTGGAGCTGCCCACATGTCCAGTCTGTCTGGAGAGAATGGTGAGTCACCATGGTAACACTTGGGGTCAAGTTGCAGGGGACTGATGGAAGTGTTTGCTGGAATGTCACTTCAAGCTTATGTAGCAGGATGAGGAGTCATTCCACAGATGACATTCTTACCCTGTCAGCTTGCTGAACCGCTTTGGTCATGTGGAAATGTGAACCACATTGCTTACTTAGAAAATATGAGTATTTCAGAGATGTCTCCCAAATCCTGATTTTCAACCATCAGGAAATTCTAAAACAATTACCTCCTTAACAAGGGTCAACAAGGGTTAAAAAAGAAAATTATACCTACCTGTCTTTAAATAAAGTTGTGAATATGATATCTTGATTCTTTGTGAAAAGAATATGACAATACTTGATATACATGGCACTTAATTGGTTGGCTTAAAAGATCAAGGTCATTGATAACGAAATGAACGTTATCAAGCTTGTCACTCGAAGAATATTTTGGTGTATTGAAACATCATCTCTAGGTCAGGTTTTACTTTGGACTTTCCTTAAAAGTTTGGTTTACTAAAGTCACAAGATGCCATTACGTGACACTAGTGTGTGTTGTCCTCTGTCTCCAGGATGAGTCGGTGGACGGGGTGCTGACCGTGCTGTGTAACCACTCCTTCCACACCTCCTGTCTGGCCAAGTGGGGAGACACAAGGTAGGCTGCTATAACAACATAACAATTTACAGGACAATCCAATCTCTATAAGACAGATATTTACTCTGATGTGCTACATTTCTATGTAGGTCTGAGGTCACCTCTGTAGAAGGGGTAGCCTAGTGGTTAAAGTGTTCACTTGTCACGCCGAAGACACGGGTTTGATTCCCGACATGGGTACAATGTGTGAAGGCCATTTCTGGTGTCCCCCGCCGTGATATTGCTGGAATATTGCTAAAAGCTTCATAAAACCAAACTCACTCACTCTATAGAAGGTCATGTCAGATGAACCCTGAGCGAACTATCTGAAAAGATGCTGAGTGGGTTCTTGAGCCAATCAGCTGTCAGCTTTAAAAACAATTTGGTTACATTGTTTATCACCTCAATTTGGAAATTTTGGTTTGTACAAATGAAAACCAACACAGAACACAAATATTTCTGCCATGGTGCTCCCTTCTTGGTGCAGATGCCATGGCGCTCAGAAACAACAGGATGCGTGAAATTCCAGAACAAAATACAAACTTTCTACTTTTGAAACTTATCATTTAAGTTCTTTTCGAGATACATATATCAGGTATGCTGGTGTGAATGTTTTGTTAACTTTTAGAATTTAGATGTCTTGTTGCTGATTGGCTGATTAGAAAGTTCATCTGATGTGTTGTCCTCATATCTCCAGGGTTAAATGAGATTGCCGGACAATCAGGATTCATTTGGAAACCTTCAGTTGATAATTCAGTTGGGTCTTACATAGTGATATTGCAATTCACCGCTCAGACTCTGCACGATACGATACCCGATACCCGATACCCGAGTTGTGTTATTGTGTTACAGCTGCGTCGTGTGTTGGTACATTCAGTTGTGTTATTGTGTCACGGCTGCCCAGTGTGTCGGTACAGTCAGTTGTGTTATTGTTACAGCTGCCCAGTGTGTTGGTACAGTCAGTTGTGTTATTGTGTTACAGCTGCAGTGTGTCGGTTCAGTTAATTGTGTTATTGTGTTACAGCTGCCCAGTGTGTTGGTACAGTTAGTTGTGTTACAGCTGCTCAGTGTGTCGGTACAGTCAGTTGTGTTATTATGTTACAGCTGCACAGTGTCGGTACAGTTAATTTTGTTATTGTGTTACAGCTGCCCAGTGTGTTGGTACAGTTAGTTGTGTTATTGTGTTACAGCTGCCCAGTGTGTTGGTACAGTTAGTTGTGTTATTGTGTTACAGCTGCCCAGTGTGTTGGTACAGTTAGTTGTGTTATTGTGTTACAGCTGCCCAGTGTGTTGGTACAGTTAGTTCTGTTACTGGTTTACAGCTGCCCAGTGTGTTGGTTCAGTTAGTTGTGTTATTGTGTTACAGCTGCTCAGTGTGTCTGTACAGTCATTTGTGTTATTATGTTACAGCTGCTCAGTGTGTCTGTACAGTCAGTTGTGTTATTGTTACAGCTGCACAGTGTGTCTGTACAGTCAGTTGTGTTATTGTGTTACAGCTGCTCAGTGTGTCTGTACAGTCAGTTGTGTTATTGTTACAGCTGCACAGTGTGTCTGTACAGTCAGTTGTGTTATTGTGTTACAGCTGCTCAGTGTGTCTGTACAGTCAGTTGTGTTATTGTGTTACAGGTGCTCAGTGTGTCGGTACAGTCAGTTGTGTTATTGTGTTACAGCTGCTCAGTGTGTCTGTACAGTCAGTTGTGTTATTGTGTTACAGCTGCTCAGTGTGTCGGTACAGTCAGTTGTGTTATTATGTTACAGCTGCACAGTGTGTCGGTACAGTTATTTGCGTTATTATGTTACAGCTGCCCCGTGTGTCGGTACAGTTAGTTGTGTTATTGTGTTACAGCTGCCAAGTGTGTTGGTACAGTTAGTTGTGTTATTGTGTTACAGCTGCCCCGTGTGTTGGTACAGTCAGTTGTGTAACAGCTGCCCCCTGTGTCGGTACAGTCAGTTGTGTTATTGTGTTACAGCTGCCCTGTGTGTTGGTACAGTCAGTTGTGTTATTGTGTTACAGCTGCCCAGTGTGTCGGTACAGTCAGTTGTGTTATTGTGTTACAGCTGCCCAGTGTGTCGGTACAGTCAGTTGTGTTATTGTGTTACAACTGCACAGTGTGTCGGTACAGTTAGTTGTGTTATTATGTTACAGCTGCCCGTGTGTCGGTACAGTCAGTTGTGTTATTGTGTTACAACTGCCCAGTGTGTCGGTACAGTCAGTTGTGTTATTGTGTTACAACTGCACAGTGTGTCGGTACAGTTAGTTGTGTTATTATGTTACAGCTGCCCCGTGTGTCGGTACAGCCAGACACCAGAGGAGGTGGCAGACAACCACTGCATGAAGTGTGGATCCAATGAGGTGAGACACAGACATGGATGTACTTGGCTGGACCCTGTGTTTATATTGAAGTGATTATATGCACCAATTGTTTGTCTTACAGCAGGGATGTGGTGAGTTGTGTAGCAAGTATAGGGTTTTTTAGCAATCCAGCAACCACGGCTGAGTCTTTGACCATGTTGACCAGGCAATAATTACTTGAATTGTTAGTTATAAACACCACTTGGCAGTGACATAACCTCCTTCTTCACTTGATAGAACAATTACAAGAAAAGCGGGAGATTTGAACCCAGGAAGTTTGCGCTGAAGGCTAACAGTTGATGGGAACATGACAGAAGTTGTGTGGAATTAACAATGACGTATTTACTGACATCAAGACTAAGAGTTAATCTGTTTATGAACTGTGATATTTGTGATTTATTCAGGAGGGGTGACTATTGAGGCATTTTTTACTTTTGCGATAGTTAAAACAACTATTGCCATACTATTGTGATAGTGGCCCTACTATTGCAATACTATTGCGATAGTTTTCACTTGCAATTTATAGCAGGCTTTAGCAGCATATATTTCAGCATTTTGACTGACACCATCAAAATAATTATAACTTTCTGATACTATTTGTAAAGAAACAAGAAATGAAAAGAAAACAAGTTCAAATTGACCTCTCAAAAACATTTGAATACAAAATTTCACTTCATGTAACTGGTAAAGTCTTAGGTTACTGCAGTGTTTTAGCACGTGGACGAATATCTGGGTGCCGTCTTGTTAAGTGGTCGGTCAGATTAGTAGTATTTCCTGAATACTTTAGAATTATCCGACAGATTCTACAACCTACTGTTTGCTTGTCTGTCTCGTTTTGCGTTTTGACAAAGCCAAAATGGTCCCATACCCACGATTTGCCTGCCTTATTGGCGACAATTTCAAACTGACATGTGGCGTCCGCCATCTTGTCAATGTTGCCTAGCGACGAGTAGCTAAGGGACGTAACTCTAAATCAAGCAGACAAAGTAGTGCAATCCAAACGAAAGCACGACAGAGGTTAGATGATCATAGGAGTTGTTTCTATGTTTTTTAAGAAAGTAAATGTACCAAACAAATTAACTATCAAAACTATCGATACTTAGACAAACTATCGCCAATAGTATCGATTGTTTCAAGTTGCAATCGATAGTGTACTATCGTGAGACAAGCAATCGCAATCAATCGATAGTTTGATGTATCGTTACACCACTATTATTCAGGATGTTATTCTATCTGGGGCAAGTACTATTTTGGTGATAAATGTGTCCCAGGACATGCATTTCATAGCGTGAGTCGCCAAAGAGCAAGGTGCACATGCCAAAGGCTTGGGGAACACTTTTATGTGCACCACCCTCACCAACTCACACAGTGTTCTGACAGTCGAATATCTGTTTATCCCCCGCCAGGAAGTGGGGCAAGAGTTATAGGAACAGATTTTGTCCGTCTGCTTCTCAATATGGACACATTTTCTCAAAAACTATTCAAGAAGAAATTAAATTTTACACACTGATGTTACTGGTCACAATCTCAAATGAGTTCTAAAGTTTTCTCTAAGTTATCTTTTCTGGAGAAGGGGCCTTTTAGTTATTTTCACATTTAATCCATTTTTCTGATGATGTTAAGCGGCCCAAGTGCCTATCTCTTTTTAAGACTTTAAAGGACTTATTTTATAGTTTATATTCACTGCTATATGAACAAACAGAATTCTAATGTGCCCCATGGCGGGGGAAAGTGATAACACTGTTTAATTAATCGTTGGTTAAACTGACAATTTCAATGATTTAACATCAGATCCAAGTGGTCTTACCTATACTTACCCATAAGGGTAGAATGTAGGAGTACAATAGTGAGTGAGTTGGGTTTAACACCGCTTTTAACAGTATTCCAGTTATATCACGGCATGTCAGCTTAATGTGGGAGGAAAGCCCGAGGTAATGCAGGTCTCAGACATTTACCACTTCGGTGAAACCCACGAGAACGGGTATGGTGCTGACAAACCTTGAAACATAATTGGGGCGAACCGGGATTCGAACCCACAATCATAGGTTTCTAGTGTGCCCAAGGGACGCAACTCTGCACAGCGAATAGCGACGCCTTAGACGACTGGGCCACCCATGCCCCCAGAAGTATAATAACTCTTCCCACTTCCCATATTTGCCCACTGGGTTTTCTGATCCAGATTCAATTATTTACAAGCCACGTCATATAACTGGAATATTGTTGAGTGTGTTGAATACAGAGTTAAACAACAACCAAACAAACAGATCTGATTCCCTGGTGAGGAAAAATTGTGAAGCCCAGTTTGTGTCCACATGTTGTGAACATGTGGGTATTACTGAAATATGGATAAAAGCAGCATAAAATCTTTTCCTTCCACAAAATTGGTCACAGTGACAACAGATCCACAATACGTTTATTTATATTTTTAAACTTGATTTTCTTTGTTACATAATGTTTGATAGTGACAGTGGTGGTACACGTTTGTTTCTCCACAGAGCCTGTGGATCTGTCTCATCTGCGGCCATGTTGGATGTGGGAGATACGTCGGACTTCACGCCTACAGGTAGCATTCGTTACAATCAATAAAATCAGTCACTTAACTGTCATACTTGGAGTACCCGGTGGGGATTTCGGGTTAGAAAAGGTCCCCAGCAACGTATTCTTGTCATAAGAGGTGATTAACTGGATTGGGTGAAAAGGCTTGGTGACTTGGTTGAAAGTGTGTTATCCTACCCCAAAGACGTGGATTGTTGCTCACAATATCAATCACTGGATTGTCTGGTCCAGACTTGATTACAGTCAAACACTGTTTTGTTTTCAAAAACTTGATGATGTGTTGAACTTTGGGTTGTCCCGAAGGAAAAGCTTGGTCCCTGCATATTTCTTCTTTATTTATACTTTTCGGTTGTGTCAAACTTTGGATAACTCAAAGTATTTACAAGTATTTATTGTACATAGGTCCCTTCAACTTTGACACAACAGTGTTTGACTCAGGGGTCCGGAAAATTTAAAATCCCAATTGGACATTTGCATTTAGTACACGCCCCCTTCAAATTTACACACACATTACAAGTTGTTACGTATTCATAATATGATGAATTATGAATTGTTTCAATTTAAATTGTTTAATTCACCGGACAATTAATAACAAATAATATCATTTTAGATATATATGGGAAACATACGTTTGTTTCTGTTATAATAACGATCTGTTAACGTAGTGAACGGTCTAATTAATATTCATGAGTCTGCTCAAGTGTACGCGTTGTAACATTTGGATCGAGACTATTATCCCATATTTGGTTATCACGTGACCTCACGGGAAAAGTTGTTTTTTTTAACTAAAGATTATTTAAAAACAAGACAGATATTATAATCATAAATACTAAAATATCATTGATAGCAATAGTTATTTGAATACTTTTTAATTATTGACCATAAAAAAATTTGATATCGATAGTCACAGAAAGCAAAATGGCGGTCAATCAAGATTCAATATACGACTAGCTACTGAAAACAATAAAATCTGCAAATCCTCATTGTATGTCAACCAAGTGAAAATCGTTAGCCACGACTTACAAAATGATCATTCAGACTTGTTTCCGGACCCCTGTTTTGACTGTATTCACAGGCCGCTGTCATACTGGTGGAATATGGCGGACTCAGCATAAAACAACAAACATATTTGAAGAAAGGAATGATAAGAATTTGATCAGGGATTGTTTATATATAGTTAGAAAGCATGTCTTTGCACATCAGTTGTAAAGAAATCCTGTTCCGTATATGTGAATATTTGTACATTATGAATGATTACTTACAGTAGACGTTATGTTTTTGAAGGAATGGCCAGTTCATATTTAAAATGTTGAAAACCTATTGTACTAAGGGTGAGAGGACAGCCATACCAGGATTATATGGACATTACTTTGTATGAATTTTCGCCTGCCAGTATTTTGCGGACTTTCTTCAATGTTATCCAAAGGACCGACAGAACTTATATTTTGACCTGAAGACCCAGGTTCAATACTCCCGAGTGTGAAGCCCATTTCTGGTGTCCTCTACCATGATATTGCTGGAATATTGCTAAAAGCGGTATAAAACTATACTCACTCAATATATTTTGACTCCTAGCTGTTTTTCCCCCAGACATTTCCAGGACACAAACCACACCTATGCCATGCAGATTGGCAATAACCGTGTGTGGGACTACGCCGGTGACAACTACGTCCACCGTCTCGTTCAGAACAAGTCTGATGGCAAACTGGTTGAAGTAGATGAAGGTGGAAATGTTGTCCAGGACGAGAAACTCGACTCTCTTACACTCGAGGTAAATAGTGAACGGAACATCTGTCCACACTAGGCACAACTGTTAGCTCAGCTGAACTTGACTTTTGCACATTTGTGGTCAATAATGAATGAAACATATGTAAACACTAGACTTGCTAGATACTAGGGCTGGGACGGGTAACTCGGGTACCCTGGTCGGGTGGGTACTGAGTAGGACACGGGTACCCACAGGACTACCAGCACCTGTGGTTAGTCACATGATATATTGTTTAAGACAAAAATTATGCACCCATTCCTTCTGACTTTTCATGTGGTTGAATAAAGATATCACTTAAGTCAACTTCAGTGTATGCATGACCAGATTGTTTAATACATGTGTCGAAATACGTTTTGCCAGGGCTATGGTAAAAAAATTCCCAGTCGGACATTTTGTACCTATCTCTTGAGGCCTACAGTGGGTACCCGGGTAGGGTCGGGTAATAGGGGGATGGGTACCCGGGTAGTAAATTTGGACTCGTCCCAGCCCTACTAGATACAATTATTAACTCATCTAAGCTTGACTCTTATGCTAAAGGTAAATAATGAACGAAACATCTGTTTACACTAGACAATGTTGCACTCAACTCTTACCATGTTTATTCTCAAGATAATAATGAACATAATTTTTCTACACCCATGAAGATCTGGGGTAGAAAAGGTCTTCAGCAACCCAAGCTTGCGACTATGCTTGTCGTAAGAGGCGATTAACGGGATCGGGTGGTCGGGCTCGCTTACTTGGTTGATGCGTGTGTTATTAACTCACCAGATTCTGACTCTCTCGCACCCGTGGTGAATAATTAACAGAACATCTTTCATGACGTTTTGACGTACTTGACACATGAGTCTCTATAGGCATTTAGCAGTTGGATGTATGAATCACGACAAGGAGTTGTGCGGAATTTAATTCTAACCAGGATAAACCGCCTCCATAGTCTTGTGGTAGAGCGTTTGCGGGTAGAGCGGAAGGTCGTGGGTTCGATCCCTGGCTGTATCATACCAAAAGACATTAAAATATGGTACTTTTGGTACCCGCCTGGTGTTTGGCATTGGGTTATTCATGTTAAACTGCGGTATGGTATATCAGTTGGCTAGAACTAGATAATCGGCACTAGTCCAGACTAATACAAGCAGCAACGCACACACGTGCATGCAAGTCGCAATATAAGTGTAATAATCTTGGATGAGAGGTTAAACGCCATTTCACCTTACCTCACCTCACCTCTAACCTTACCTCTAACCTCACCTTACCTCACCTCACCTCTAACCTCACTTCACTTCTAACCTCACCTCTAACCTCACTTCTAACCTCACCTTACCTCACCTCTAACCTCACTTCACTTCTAACCTCACCTCTAACCTCACCTTACCTCGACTCACCTCTAACCTCACTTCACTTCTAACCTCACTTCCAACTTCACTTCTAACCTCGCCTCTTACCTCGCCTCTAACCTCGCTTCTAACTTCACTTCTAACCTCACTTCACCTCACCTCTAACCTAAACCTAACCTCACCTCACCTCTAACCTCACCTCACCTCTAACCTCACCTCTAACCTCACCTCTAACCTCACTTTTAACTTCACTTTTAACCTCGCCTCTAATCTCGCCTCTAATCTCACCTTGACCTCACTTCTAACCTCACTTCTAACCTCACTTCTAACCTCGCCTCTAACCTCGCCTCTAATCTCACCTTGACCTCACTTCTAACCTCACTTCTAACCTCACTTCTAACTTCACTTCTAACCTCACCTCTAACCTCACAGAAGTATTATGGATAACAAGTCCTATATCATACATACACAATGTTTCAGGGCTACTTCTTGACCCTTCATCAGGTGGAATGATAAAACCTCACTTCTAACTTCACTTCTAACCTTACCTCATCTCACCTCTAACCTCACCTCTAACCTCACCTTACCTCACCTCACCTCTAACCTCACTTCACTTCTAACCTCACCTCTAACCTCACTTCTAACCTCACCTTACCTAACCTCACCTCTAACCTCACTTCACTTCTAACCTCACCTTTTACCTCACCTCTAACCTCACCTTACCTCACCTCACCTCTAACCTCACTTCACTTCTAACCCCACTTCCAACTTCACTTCTAACCTCACCTCTAACCTCGCTTCTAACTTCACTTCTAACCTCACTTCACCTCACCTCTAACCTCACCTAACCTCACCTCACCTCTAACCTCACCTCAATTCTAACCTCACCTCTAACCTCACTTCTAACCTCACTTCTAACCTCACTTCTAACTTCACTTCTAACCTCGCCTCTGACCTCGCCTCTAACCTCGCCTCTAACCTCACTTCTAACCTCACTTCTAACTTCACTTCTAACCTCACCTCCAACCTTACAGAAGTATTATGGATAACAAGTTCTATATCATACATACACAATGTTTCAGGGCTACTTCTTGACCCTTCATCAGGTGGAATGATAAAACCTCGCTTCTAACTTCACTTCTAACCTTACCTCATCTCACCTCTAACCTCACCTCACCTCACCTCTAACCTCACCTCAATTCTAACCTCACCTCTAATATCACTTCTAACCTCACCTCTAACCTCACTTCTAACCTCGCCTCTAACCTCGCCTCTAATCTCACCTTGACCTCACTTCTAACCTCACTTCTAACCTCACTTCTAACTTCACTTCTAACCTCACCTCCAACCTTACAGAAGTATTATGGATAACAAGTTCTATATCATACATACACAATGTTTCAGGGCTACTTCTTGACCCTTCATCAGGTGGAATGATAAAACATTGAAAACAAAAACATATAATTAACACGGTCATAAGCTCATCACTCAAGGTGAATAATGCATGGAACATCTGTCCACAGTGGACATGCTAGATATTTCTCTGTGCAACACAATATTAATTTACCTGAACTCGACTCTCTGCCACTCAAGGTTCTTTCATTTGACATGCGGCCGGTCAGATAGACTTGCGGTTAAAGCGTTTGCTCGTCACGCCGAAGACCCGGGTTCGATTCCCGACATGGGTACAATGTGTGAAGCCCATTTCTGGTGTCCCACGTCGTGATATTGCTGCTTGAATATTGCTAAAAGTGGTGTAAAATCATACTCACTCACTCATTTGACATACTGGCTACACACAGTGTTGGTCTAATAGTTGTGTTGTATTTATGATTTTAGTACACATACCTTCTGACAACTCAACTGGAATCTCAGAGACAATACTTCGAGGAGAAGATGGAGGAGACGATCAAAGAATCCGAGGAGAGGGTGAGTATTCAATGATTCAACACCTGGTTCCCGGAATGTTTCTTCTGAAGATCTAGATGCTAAAGTGTGAGGAGGGACTAATACCACTTTCAACTGTGTACTTTTTGAAAAGAATTTGTTATTTATGTAAGCATACTAGATACTCATGAATGATGTGAAGATGAAACAGTAACGACTTGGTTTCAATCTCATTAAAATCAGATCTTAGTTCTCGCTATCGCTAAACAAAGATCTAAGGACATCCCATTACGGGTCACGTCAGAACGACCTTTCATCCTACCAATCAGAGCGTCGCTTACCAGATCATGAAAGTGACAGACAGAATGTGTTTTCTAATCATGCAACCTCAAAATATTTAACAGAGGGTATTCTGAACGACAATTAAGGGTTTTATGATTATATCCATACAATCTAGGCCATCTATAAGCCATTCCAGAATGTTCTTTTTATCAGTTTCAAAAATTTTAATCGAGAATACGTCAAAATATGTTTCGAAGGGTAGTCACCAGTTTGAAACTAGTGTCGTAAAGCTCAAGAAAGCTGCCTTCTGATTGGCTAATATCGATTTCTTATCATTCATTTCATTGATCAGTCAAAATTCGCAAAAGGTCGTTCTGACGTGAACCGTAATGTCCTCATGTCTTTGTTTAGTGGTAGTGAAAACTAAAATCTGATTTTAATGAGATTGCCATCGAGACTGATGGTAGTAATGCAGAGAGGAGTATCTGGGATTCCCAGGCCGAGAGGTTCTAGTCAGTACGTTTGTCACCGTAATACAGACTGTTTCTACCATGAATAGGGATTTACTCAGCTCATATTTGGCCCCAGTACAACAAAAATCCAGATTTATGTTTTTATAACAATAATTTTAACTTGCAAAGGTGACTTGTATTTCACTAACGGCAATGAAGATTAATGAGATTGAACTCGGTTTGTGTGTGTCCAGGTGCTGGAAGCCAAGGATAGGTGGAAGAAGGTGAACTTGGAGCGGGAGAAACTGGAGAAACAACTCACAGACGTCAGCAAGGAGAGACAGAGTCTTGATAAGAAGTGTTCTCATGTAAGCTGAGGGCCACTTAGCATCACTGTCAGTGTTGAAATTAAGTTTCAAAGTCAAGTCGTCCTTGTGATGACCGGGTCTACTGTTACCAGAGAAACATTAAGGGGGTCCCTGGATTCAAATACTGGTGCATTGTTCTACACTGTTATTAATCGAAGCAAGAAGGAATATTGCTTATTGTTGTGTCAGGATAAGTATAAAAATAAGTCGAGTACTCTGTTCTCATATAACTCATTTTTTAAAGATATTTGGATCCAAAATCGAATTATTAATTTTCATATTTTCTTGGCTGACATTTTGACAAGTCTAGAATGCGCACTGCTGAAATGCTGGATCAGATTTGTTGATTTGTTGGCAGTACCACGAGCGTCTGACTAAGTCGTTGTCGCAGCTGCAGGAGGAGCAGCAGATGAACACGTGTCTGCGGGAGAACCAGCAGCTGTGGCAGAACAAAGTGACGGCCCTGGAGAACAAGCTGAAGGACAGCCTCGACATCAAGGACAAGGTAGGACACAGACATGATAGCAATCAGCCCCTCAGTCAACTCCTGGTGTCATGCATGATGTAAGAACGGTCTAACAATGCACTGTCCTCAGGGGTACAATAGGACACAAACAACAGAAAATCGCTTCAAACTATTTAACTAGGGGCTTAACAAGCACTCACAGATTAGGGGTTTAACAAACATACACTCACAGACTAGGGCTTAACAAGCATACACTCACAGACTAGGGGCTAACAAGCATACACCCACAGAGTAGGGGCTTAACAAACATACACTCACAGACTAGGGCTTAACAAGCATACACTCACAGACTAGGGCTAACACGCATACACTCACAGACTAGGGCTAACAAGCATACACTCACAGACTAGGGCTTAACAAGCATCCACTCACAGACTAGGGGTTTAACAAGCATACACTCACAGACTAGGGCTTAACAAGCATACACTCACAGACTAGGGGCTTAACAAACATACACTCACAGACTAGGGCTTAACAAGCATACACTCACAGACTAGGGGCTTAACAAGCATACACTCACAGACTAGGGCTTAACAAGCATATACTCACAGACTAGGGGTTTAACAAGCATCCACTCACAGACAAGGGGCTAACAAGCATGCAATCACAGACTAGGGGTTAACAAGCATACACTCACAGACTAGGGCTTAACAAGCATTCACTCACAGTCTAGGCCTTAACAAGCATACACTCACAGACTAGGGCTTAACAAGCATACACTCACAGACTAGGGCTAACACGCATACACTCACAGACTAGGGGTTTAACAAGCATACACTCACAGACTAGGGGCTAACAAGCATGCAATCACGGACTAGGGCTTAACAACCATACACTCACAGACTAGGGGTTTAACAAGCATCCACTCACAGGCTAGGGCTAACAAGCATACACTCACAGACTAGGGGTTAACAAACACACTCACAGACTAGGGGCTAACAAGCATGCAATCACAGACTAGGGGCTAACAAGCATACACTCACAGACTAGGGGCTTAAAAAGCATACACTCACAGACTAGGGCTAACAAGCATGCAATCACAGACTAGGGGTTAACAAGCATACACCAACAGACTAGGGGCTAGCAAGCATGCAATCACAGACTAGGGCTTAACAAGCATACACTCACAGACTAGGGGTTTAACAAGCATCCACTCACAGACTAGGGGCTAACAAGCATACACTCACAGACTAGGGGTTTAACAAGCATACACTCACAGACTAGGGGCTAACAAGCATGCAATCACGGACTAGGGCTTAACAACCATACACTCACAGACTAGGGGTTTAACAAGCATCCACTCACAGACTAGGGCTAACAAGCATACACTCACAGACTAGGGGTTAACAAACACACTCACAGACTAGGGCTAACAAGCATGCAATCACAGACTAGGGGCTAACAAGCATACACTCACAGACTAGGGCTTAACAAGCATACACTCACAGACTAGGGCTAACACGCATACACTCACAGACTAGGGCTAACAAGCATACACTCACAGACTAGGGGTTAACAAACATACACTCACAGACTAGGGGCTAACAAGTATACACTCACAGACTAGGGGTTTAACAAGCATACACTCACAGACTAGGGGCTAACAAGCAAACACTCACAGACTAGGGCTAACAAGCATACACTCACAGACTAGGGCTAACAAGCATACACTCACAGACTAGGGCTTAACGAACGTACTCTCACGGACTAGGGCTTAACAAGAATACACTCACAGACTAGGGGTTTAACAAGCATCCACTCACAGACTAGGGGCTAACAAGCATGCAATCACAGACTAGGGGTTTAACAAACATACACCCACAGACTAGGGGTTTAACAAGCAAACACTCACAGACTAGGGGCTAACAAGCATACAATCACAGACTAGGGCTTAACAAGCATACACTCACAGACTAGGGGCTAACAAGCATGCAGTCACAGACTAGGGGTTAACAAACATACACTCACAGACTAGGGCTAACAAGCATGCAATCACAGACTAGGGGCTAACAAGCATACACTCACAGACTAGGGGCTTAAAAAGCATACACTCACAGACTAGGGCTAACAAGCATACACTCACAGACTAGGGGTTAACAAGCATACACCAACAGACTAGGGGCTAGCAAGCATGCAATCACAGACTAGGGCTTAACAAGCATACACTCACAGACTAGGGGTTTAACAAGCATCCACTCACAGACTAGGGGCTAACAAGCATACACTCACAGACTAGGGGTTTAACAAGCATACACTCACAGACTAGGGGCTAATAAGCATGCAATCACGGACTAGGGCTTAACAACCATACACTCACAGACTAGGGGCTTAAAAAGCATACACTCACAGACTAGGGCTAACAAGCATACACTCACAGACTAGGGGTTTAACAAGCATTCACTCAAAGACTAGGGGCTAACAAGCATACACTCACAGACTAGGGGTTTAACAAGCATACACTCACAGACTAGGGGCTAATAAGCATGCAATCACGGACTAGGGCTTAACAACCATACACTCACAGACTAGGGGTTTAACAAGCATCCACTCACAGACTAGGGCTAACAAGCATACACTCACAGACTAGGGCTTAACAAGCATTCACTCACAGACTAGGCCTTAACAAGCATACACTCACAGACTAGGGCTTAACAAGCATACACTCACAGACTAGGGCTAACACGCATACACTCACAGACTAGGGCTAACAAGCATACACTCACAGACTAGGGGTTAACAAACATACACTCACAGACTAGGGGCTAACAAGCATACACTCACAGACTAGGGGTTTAACAAGCATACACTCACAGACTAGGGGCTAACAAGCATGCAATCACAGACTAGGGCTTAACAACCATACACTCACAGACTAGGGGTTTAACAAGCATCCACTCACAGACTAGGGCTAACAAGCATACACTCACAGACTAGGGGTTAACAAACATACACTCACAGACTAGGGGCTAACAAGCATGCAATCACAGATTAGGGGCTAACAAGCATACACTCACAGACTAGGGGCTTAAAAAGCATACACTCACAGACTAGGGCTAACAAGCATACACTCACAGACTAGGGCTTAACGAACGTACTCTCACGGACTAGGGCTTAACAAGCATACACTCACAGACTAGGGGTTTAACAAGCATCCACTCACAGACTAGGGGCTAACAAGCATGCAATCACAGACTAGGGGTTTAACAAGCATACACCCACAGACTAGGGGCTAACAAGCATGCAATCACGGACTAGGGCTTAACAACCATACACCCACAGACTAGGGGTTTAACAAGCATCCACTCACAGACTAGGGCTAACAAGCATACACTCACAGACTAGGGGCTAACAAGCATACACTCACAGACTAGGGGCTTAAAAAGCATACACTCACAGACTAGGGCTAACAAGCATACACTCACAGACTAGGGGTTTAACAAGCATTCACTCAAAGACTAGGGGCTAACAAGCATACACTCACAGACTAGGGGTTTAACAAGCATACACTCACAGACTAGGGGCTAACAAGCAAACACTCACAGACTAGGGCTAACAAGCATACACTCACAGACTAGGGCTTAACAAGCATTCACTCACAGACTAGGCCTTAACAAGCATGCAATCACGGACTAGGGCTTAACAACCATACACTCAAAGACTAGGGGTTAACAAACATACACTCACAGACTAGGGGTTAACAAACATACACTCACAGACTAGGGCTTAACAAACATACACTCACAGACTAGGGGCTAACAAGCATGCAATCACAGACTAGGGGCTAACAAGCATACACTCACAGACTAGGGGCTTAAAAAGCATACACTCACAGACTAGGGCTAACAAGCATACACTCACAGACTAGGGGTTTAACAAGCATTCACTCAAAGACTAGGGGCTAACAAGCATACACTCACAGACTAGGGGTTTAACAAGCATACACTCACAGACTAGGGGCTAACAAGCATGCAATCATGGACTAGGGCTTAACAACCATACACTCACAGACTAGGGGTTTAACAAGCATCCACTCACAGACTAGGGCTAACAAGCATACACTCACAGACTAGGGCTTAACAAGCATTCACTCACAGACTAGGCCTTAACAAGCATACACTCACAGACTAGGGCTTAACAAGCATACACTCACAGACTAGGGCTAACACGCATACACTCACAGACTAGGGCTAACAAGCATACACTCACAGACTAGGGGTTAACAAACATACACTCACAGACTAGGGGCTAACAAGTATACACTCACAGACTAGGGGTTTAACAAGCATACACTCACAGACTAGGGGCTAACAAGCAAACACTCACAGACTAGGGCTAACAAGCATACACTCACAGACTAGGGCTAACAAGCATACACTCACAGACTAGGGCTTAACGAACGTACTCTCACGGACTAGGGCTTAACAAGAATACACTCACAGACTAGGGGTTTAACAAGCATCCACTCACAGACTAGGGGCTAACAAGCATGCAATCACAGACTAGGGGTTTAACAAACATACACCCACAGACTAGGGGTTTAACAAGCAAACACTCACAGACTAGGGGCTAACAAGCATACAATCACAGACTAGGGCTTAACAAGCATACACTCACAGACTAGGGGCTAACAAGCATGCAGTCACAGACTAGGGGTTAACAAACATACACTCACAGACTAGGGCTAACAAGCATGCAATCACAGACTAGGGGCTAACAAGCATACACTCACAGACTAGGGGCTTAAAAAGCATACACTCACAGACTAGGGCTAACAAGCATACACTCACAGACTAGGGGTTAACAAGCATACACCAACAGACTAGGGGCTAGCAAGCATGCAATCACAGACTAGGGCTTAACAAGCATACACTCACAGACTAGGGGTTTAACAAGCATCCACTCACAGACTAGGGGCTAACAAGCATACACTCACAGACTAGGGGTTTAACAAGCATACACTCACAGACTAGGGGCTAATAAGCATGCAATCACGGACTAGGGCTTAACAACCATACACTCACAGACTAGGGGTTTAACAAGCATCCACTCACAGACTAGGGCTAACAAGCATACACTCACAGACTAGGGGTTAACAAACACACTCACAGACTAGGGGCTAACAAGCATGCAATCACAGACTAGGGGCTAACAAGCATACACTCACAGACTAGGGGCTTAAAAAGCATACACTCACAGACTAGGGCTAACAAGCATACACTCACAGACTAGGGGTTTAACAAGCATTCACTCAAAGACTAGGGGCTAACAAGCATACACTCACAGACTAGGGGTTTAACAAGCATACACTCACAGACTAGGGGCTAACAAGCATGCAATCACGGACTAGGGCTTAACAACCATACACTCACAGACTAGGGGTTTAACAAGCATCCACTCACAGACTAGGGCTAACAAGCATACACTCACAGACTAGGGCTTAACAAGCATTCACTCACAGACTAGGCCTTAACAAGCATACACTCACAGACTAGGGCTTAACAAGCATACACTCACAGACTAGGGCTAACACGCATACACTCACAGACTAGGGCTAACAAGCATACACTCACAGACTAGGGGTTAACAAACATACACTCACAGACTAGGGGCTAACAAGCATACACTCACAGACTAGGGGTTTAACAAGCATACACTCACAGACTAGGGGCTAACAAGCATGCAATCACAGACTAGGGCTTAACAACCATACACTCACAGACTAGGGGTTTAACAAGCATCCACTCACAGACTAGGGCTAACAAGCATACACTCACAGACTAGGGGTTAACAAACATACACTCACAGACTAGGGGCTAACAAGCATGCAATCACAGATTAGGGGCTAACAAGCATACACTCACAGACTAGGGGCTTAAAAAGCAGACACTCACAGACTAGGGCTAACAAGCATACACTCACAGACTAGGGCTTAACGAACGTACTCTCACGGACTAGGGGCTAACAAGCATGCAATCACAGATTAGGGGCTAACAAGCATACACTCACAGACTAGGGGCTTAAAAAGCATACACTCACAGACTAGGGCTAACAAGCATACACTCACAGACTAGGGCTTAACGAACGTACTCTCACGGACTAGGGCTTAACAAGCATACACTCACAGACTAGGGGTTTAACAAGCATCCACTCACAGACTAGGGGCTAACAAGCATGCAATCACAGACTAGGGGTTTAACAAGCATACACCCACAGACTAGGGGCTAACAAGCATGCAATCACGGACTAGGGCTTAACAACCATACACCCACAGACTAGGGGTTTAACAAGCATCCACTCACAGACTAGGGCTAACAAGCATACACTCACAGACTAGGGGCTAACAAGCATACACTCAAAGACTAGGGGCTTAAAAAGCATACACTCACAGACTAGGGCTAACAAGCATACACTCACAGACTAGGGGTTTAACAAGCATTCACTCAAAGACTAGGGGCTAACAAGCATACACTCACAGACTAGGGGTTTAACAAGCATACACTCACAGACTAGGGGCTAACAAGCAAACACTCACAGACTAGGGCTAACAAGCATACACTCACAGACTAGGGCTTAACAAGCATTCACTCACAGACTAGGCCTTAACAAGCATGCAATCACGGACTAGGGCTTAACAACCATACACTCACAGACTAGGGGTTAACAAACATACACTCACAGACTAGGGGTTAACAAACATACACTCACAGACTAGGGCTTAACAAACATACACTCACAGACTAGGGGCTAACAAGCATGCAATCACAGACTAGGGGCTAACAAGCATACACTCACAGACTAGGGGCTTAAAAAGCATACACTCACAGACTAGGGCTAACAAGCATACACTCACAGACTAGGGCTTAACGAACGTACTCTCACGGACTAGGGCTTAACAAGAATACACTCACAGACTAGGGGTTTAACAAGCATCCACTCACAGACTAGGGGCTAACAAGCATGCAATCACAGACTAGGGGTTTAACAAACATACACCCACAGACTAGGGGTTTAACAAGCAAACACTCACAGACTAGGGGCTAACAAGCATACAATCACAGACTAGGGCTTAACAAGCATACACTCACAGACTAGGGGCTAACAAGCATGCAATCACAGACTAGGGGTTAACAAACATACACTCACAGACTAGGGGCTAACAAGCATGCAATCACAGACTAGGGGCTAACAAGCATACACTCACAGACTAGGGGCTTAAAAGGATACACTCACAGACTAGGGCTAACAAGCATACACTCACAGACTAGGGCTTAACGAACGTACTCTCACGGACTAGGGCTTAACAAGAATACACTCACAGACTAGGGGTTTAACAAGCATCCACTCACAGACTAGGGGCTAACAAGCATGCAATCACAGACTAGGGGTTTAACAAACATACACCCACAGACTAGGGGTTTAACAAGCAAACACTCACAGACTAGGGCTAACAAGCATACACTCACAGACTAGGGGCTAACAAGCATACAATCACAGACTAGGGGCTAACAAGCATGCAATCACAGACTAGGGGTTTAACAAGCATACACCCACAGACTAGGGGCTAACAAGCATGCAATCACGGACTAGGGCTTAACAAGCATACACTCACAGACTAGGGGCTAACAAGCATGCAATCACAGACTAGGGGTTAACAAACATACACTCACAGACTAGGGGCTAACAAGCATGCAATCACAGACTAGGGGCTAACAAGCATACACTCACAGACTAGGGGCTTAAAAGGATACACTCACAGACTAGGGCTAACAAGCATACACTCACAGACTAGGGCTTAACGAACGTACTCTCACGGACTAGGGCTTAACAAGCATACACTCACAGACTAGGGGTTTAACAAGCATCCACTCACAGACTAGGGGCTAACAAGCATGCAATCACAGACTAGGGGTTTAACAAGCATACACCCACAGACTAGGGGCTAACAAGCATGCAATCACGGACTAGGGCTTAACAACCATACACCCACAGACTAGGGGTTTAACAAGCATCCACTCACAGACTAGGGCTAACAAGCATACACTCACAGACTAGGGGCTAACAAGCATACACTCACAGACTAGGGGCTTAAAAAGCATACACTCACAGACTAGGGCTAACAAGCATACACTCACAGACTAGGGGTTTAACAAGCATTCACTCAAAGACTAGGGGCTAACAAGCATACACTCACAGACTAGGGGTTTAACAAGCATACACTCACAGACTAGGGGCTAACAAGCAAACACTCACAGACTAGGGCTAACAAGCATACACTCACAGACTAGGGCTTAACAAGCATTCACTCACAGACTAGGCCTTAACAAGCATGCAATCACGGACTAGGGCTTAACAACCATACACTCACAGACTAGGGGTTAACAAACATACACTCACAGACTAGGGGTTAACAAACATACACTCACAGACTAGGGCTTAACAAACATACACTCACAGACTAGGGGCTAACAAGCATGCAATCACAGACTAGGGGCTAACAAGCATACACTCACAGACTAGGGGCTTAAAAAGCATACACTCACAGACTAGGGCTAACAAGCATACACTCACAGACTAGGGCTTAACGAACGTACTCTCACGGACTAGGGCTTAACAAGAATACACTCACAGACTAGGGGTTTAACAAGCATCCACTCACAGACTAGGGGCTAACAAGCATGCAATCACAGACTAGGGGTTTAACAAACATACACCCACAGACTAGGGGTTTAACAAGCAAACACTCACAGACTAGGGGCTAACAAGCATACAATCACAGACTAGGGCTTAACTAGCATACACTCACAGACTAGGGGCTAACAAGCATGCAATCACGGACTAGGGCTTAACAACCATACACCCACAGACTAGGGGTTTAACAAGCATCCACTCACAGACTAGGGCTAACAAGCATACACTCACAGACTAGGGGCTTAAAAGGATACACTCACAGACTAGGGCTAACAAGCATACACTCACAGACTAGGGCTTTACGAACGTACTCTCACGGACTAGGGCTTAACAAGAATACACTCACAGACTAGGGGTTTAACAAGCATCCACTCACAGACTAGGGGCTAACAAGCATGCAATCACAGACTAGGGGTTTAACAAACATACACCCACAGACTAGGGGTTTAACAAGCAAACACTCACAGACTAGGGCTAACAAGCATACACTCACAGACTAGGGGCTAACAAGCATACAATCACAGACTAGGGCTTAACAAGCATACACCCACAGACTAGGAGTTTAACAAGACTGAATTATATACTGGCATTCACGGACTGCCTGGGGTGTAAAATGACTGACAAAATGCCTATTGTGTGTCCCTGCAGGAGGTGCGAGACCTGCAGGATCAGCTGAGAGACATCATGTTCTACCTGGAGGCCCAGCAGAAGCTGTCCAACAACACTGAGATCTCCCAGGAGGAGATCCAGGAGGGGCAGGTCATCGTGGGGGCCGCGGCAGCGCAGGCCTCGCCCACGGGGAAGAGGTCGCGGAAGAAGCAGAGGTAACAGACAAGGTCACCACCAAACAAGAGATGCTGATGCTGCTTCTAGATGTGTGTCATGTCCTAATAATGGCATTTTTGTGTCGGCACTTGTGTCTCGAGAAATCCTCTTTAAGAAATATGTCATCAAATTGCATCTAGATGTGTCTTCAGAATCTGTTGTAGGACAGATATGTGTCTTCAGAATCTGCTTCTAGCACAGATGTGTGTTTTCAGACTGCTGTAGGAAGAGATGCATTTTTCAGAATCTGCTGTAGGACAGATGTGTGTCTTCTGAATCTGCTATTAGCACAGCTATTTGTCTTCAGCATCGTATGTGTCTTGCAGATATCCTCTTCAAGGAGAAGTTTCAAAGTCTGTGATATTGATTATTCAACTGGCCAAATATTGAAGCCTGGAGAAAGCAATGGTGCTGTTGTGTCCTGTAACATGGGCCCTCAGTTAAGAGGTCTTTCCAATGGAGGAAGCAATGATGCTTTTGTGTCCTGTAACATTGGCCCTCAATTTTGAGGTCTTTCCAATGGAGGAAGCGATGGTGCTGTTGTGCCCTGTAACAAGGGCCCTCAGTTTAGAGGTCTTTCCAATGGAAGAAGCAATGATGCTTTTGTCTCCTGTAACATTGGCCCTCAGTTTAGAGGTCTTTCCAATGGAGGAAGCGATGGTGCTGTTGTGCCGTGTAACATGGGCCCTCAGTTTAGAGGTCTTTCCAATGGAGGAAGCGATGGTGCTGTTGTGTCCTGTAACATGGGCCCTCAGTTTAGAGGTCTTTCCAGTGTACATTTTTCTCTTTGTTGTCAAGTACACATGGTGGGCTTACATGTAAACCTATTGTCATGTCAGAACAGTGATATCCATCATTGACCTTTCACCTTTTTTTTATTTCATTGTGCACAAACAACTTCAGAATGACTGCCTTGCCAAAATGGGATGGCAACATTCTGAGTCAGACTTGAAAGGACTAGGACATGAACATGTGATGAAAGGAAATGTATACCAATTACTGGTAACAATGTTATGCCATATTTACCAAAAAAACCTTGTCATTTTGTACTTCCATTGATACATGTGATAAATAATACATGTTAACAGGGTAAAGACATCAGTCTTGAAAAAATATGGTTAAGCCACTTTCAGTGTTTATGCCTAATGGGATGTATGGTGACCACAAGGGCTTGTCACAAATATTTCAGCAAAGGAACCAATATCTCTTGCACACACAAAAAAAGCTTTGTGTTTTGACTAATAATAGTTCTGTTAAACAAGGTTTAAGTATGGAAGTTATAGCATTAACATAGCTGGGTTCAGGTGTCTGATTGTCATGGCAACTGCAGTCAAATCATAATGTGAGGGCAGCAGAATCTGATAAACTCTGATCTCCCATCGAGACAATCTCATTAAAATCAGATCTTAGTTCTCGCTATCGCTAAACAAAGATCTGAGGACATCCCATGAGGGGTCACGTCAGAACGACCTTTCATCCAACCAATCAGAGCATCGCTTACCAGATCATAAAAGTGTCAGTCGGAATGTGTTTTCTAATCGTGCAACCACGTTATATTTAACACGGGGTATTCCGAACAACAGTTACAGGTTTTATGATTAGATCCATACAATCTAGGCCATCTATAAGCCATTCCAGCATGTTCTTCTTATCAGTTTTAAAAATTTTAATCGAGAATACGTCAAAATATGTTTCGAAGCGTAGCCGCCAGTTTGAAACAAGTGTCGTAAAGCTCGAGAAAGCTGCCTTCTGATTGGCCAATGTCGATTTCTTGTCAGTCATTTCATTGGTCGGTCAAAATTCGCGAAAGGTCGTTCTGACGTGACCCGTAATGGGATGTACTCAGATCTTTGTTTAGCGGTAGCGAAAACTAAGATCTTATTTTAATGAGATTGCCATCGAGACTGATGGTAGTAATGCAGAGAGGAGTATCTGGGATTCCCAGGCTGAGAGGTTCTAGTCAGTACGTTTGTCACCGTAATACAGACTGTTTCTACCATGAATTGGGATTTACTCAGCTCATATTTGGCCCCAGTACAACAAAAATCCAGATTTATGTTTTTATAACAATAATTTTAACTTGCAAAGGTGACTTGTATTTCACTAACAGCAGGACCAGTAAAGAGAAAAAGCACATATATTTCATGTTGCATTATTGCATTGAGCACAATGCTATAATATCAGGGTTAGAAACTAATAGCTTTTGTCCACTCGTCCTTATAATGATTACATATAGCAAGACCCTTAAAATGGGCCAATTTCTACTAGTCCTTAGGATACCTTTACTATTGGGCAGTTTGGTAAGGACTACAGGACTAGTGCCAATTTCTAACGCTGAATATCTTTATCTATGTTTACGACCATAAGCATCTATTAAATCACCATTATGAACAAGATGATGTTTTTGCCCATATTGCCTGCCATGGACACTTACCATCTGAGGTATAATGTTGTGAATGTAATTGTTGATGATGCGACTTCAGCCATTGTTATTATACTGTTGAGTGAGGAGAAGTGTACTGGAAATTGTTCCAAATGGAAAAGACTTAACTTCAGTTCAGTGAAAAGATTGTGAAATGAGTGAGTTCTGTTGACGTTCTGTATTTAATGTTGATGTTAAGATGATTTAGACATGGTGGAATGTTGTCTCTGTGATATGTTTTGAAGATGTGATGGGCATGCTTGTAGAAGTTGGACCAAAGAAGTATGATATGCATCGTCAGTACTTGACAGGTTTGTATACACTATGTTCTGCCATTACCCATGAATACTATAGCTGCTATGACGTGTGGTTGCTACTTATCACCATCAGATGAAGACACTACCTGGTCCAGCAAGAAGGAAACCAACTTGGACTCAGTACCAATGAGTGCTCAGGTTTCATCACACAACACTCTCCGTGAATAGCTGCAAGATTGCTGATGCGGTGTTCAACAATAATCACTCTTTCACTCACTCAGTCACTCCTCACACAAAAGCAGGGGTAACGGGTGGCCCAGTCGTCTAAGGCGCAGCGAATTGCTGTGCAGAGTTGGGTCCCTAGGGCTCGCCAAAAACCTATGATTGTGGGTTCGAATCCTGGTTCGCCCTGATTATGTGTCTAGGTTTGTCAGCACCATACCTGTGCTCGTGGGTTTCACCGAAGTGGTAAACGTCTAAGACCTGCATCACTTTGGGCTTTCCTCCCACATTAAGCTGACACGCCGTGATATAACTGTAATACTGTTAAAAGCGGCGTTAAACCTAACTCACTCACTCACTCACTCACTCACTCACTCACTCACTCACTCTCACTCACTCACACAAAAGCAGCGTCTTGTTTGACATTGTGCAACATGAAGTCTTTGAAAGGCATTTGAGCGAACATGAATACATGACACTTTTTTATGGATAGCAACTTCTTTTTATTCTATAAATATCTATATAGATAGCAAGAATAAAAAGAAGTTGCTATCCATAAAAAAGTGTCATGTTCATTCTGCAGCATGCGCAATAATCGTCTGGTGTCTACTGTACACATTACGTGAAAGTCAAGCAATGGTAGGAACCACACCCAAAGTTCATGCTACCGAGTCGGGTTCATGTGACTTCTGTGAATTCTACACAGCCTCATTTCATTCGCTGACTACATGGAGACATGTCACCACTACACCCGTGCGTGCGCACGCACGTGTTGTTTAACGGTGCACTCACCAATATTCCAGCCATATGACGGCGATCTGTACATAATCGAGTCTGGACCAGACAATCCAGTGATTGACATCATGAGCATCAATCCACGCAATTGGGATCGATGACATGCATCAACCAAGTCAGCGAGTCTGACTACCCGATCCCATTAGTCACCTTTACGACAAGCATTGTCACCTTTTATGGCAAGCATGGGTTGCTGAAGTCTTCAGTGTGATGGAGAAACGTAATGTGTACAAACCCGTGAAATATTGTCAGTGCAGAATATGTATTGTTTTTACTTGTAGAATGGATGGTAGGACAGTTATCACTCCCATATGGTACACACATGGTACACGAAGAGTTCACGATTCACCCATGTATCATTGCACCACAAGTTTACACATTGCGATACAATATATGATACGCTTCCCATATATATTAGATTCGCTGTGCAGAGTTGCGTCCCTTGGACACGCCAGAAACCTTTGATTGTGGGTTCGAATCCCGGATCACCCCAATTATGTTTCTAGATTTGTCAGCACATTTTACTGATGTGGTAAACGTCTGAGACCTGCATCACTACGGGCTTTCCTCCCACATTAAGCTGACACGCCACGGTATAATTGGAATACTGTTCGATTCCTGACATGGGTACAGTGTGTGAAGCCCATTTCTGGTGTCCCCCGCCGTGATATTGCTGGAATATTGCTAAAAGCGGTGTAAAACCATACTTACTCACTCACAGATTGAAATGTGTTCATACAGGAGACTGAATTGTATATTAGTGATGTATGAGTTGATTCTGTTGCTTTCTAATATTAGTTAATTATCATATATCTTTATAGTTTTCTCCCGTGTGGAGTCTGATCCCCAGCATCTTATGGTGGTTGTAAGAGAGATTTAGTTGATCGGGTCATTCAGTGTTGTTGACTTGGTTGATTGCGTATCATTGTACGCTGTTGGTGAGGATCGCTGCTCACAATATCAACCCCTGGTTTGTTTGGTCCAGACGCCATTGTTTACAGGCAGCCATCATTAATGGAATATTGCAACAAACATTCAAAAAATGTTTTTATTTCTAAAAAAAAGTTCATCCTGACTCCCTAAAGGGGATGTAGAAACCCCATTCTTTGTTTGAAGGAGGGGTGTGTGAGTATGAGTACCCCGACTCACTGATGCAACAAGTTGTTGTGACAGGGTACTGAATTTACAGTTCATAGTTTAGAAGACATTTTTGGGGGTTCATGTTGTCTGAAGAAAACTATTATGTTAAATCCAAAACTTGGGAATTCCTTTTTTATCAAATGGGTGATAATCATGGCAACCACAATTGCCAAATTTACAATGTTTGAAAAATTTGAATAATTACTGTAGCAGTACAAGCCATTTCAAGCTCATCTGAAAAAGCAGGGTGAGCTTGTCTGAGTAGATTGCCATAGCTTGAACAGGAGATGTCTTTCTGTACCATGTTTGTTTTGCCAATAATTCAAATGTTGTATGGTTTGTTTGGTTTTTTTGTGGTTTTTTTGGGGGGGGGTGTTTCTTGCGCACAGTCATTAAGTAATATGTCCAATATATATGTGAACAATCAACATTCCCCACAAAGATATATGATCTGTCATGTCCACATCTCCCGTCATGGTAGAGGTAAAAGGTCAGATTTGCATTTTGTGTCCGATGACCTGGGGTGATGATGGGGCAGTGGAATAGCCTTTTGTTCGTGCATGGTTCAGCACATCAAAGACCTGGATAATTGGGTTTTATTCCCCTCACATTCTTAGTTGGTGTGCCCTGTCATGCCATAGCTGGAACATTGCTGGAAGCGGGGTAACACCTTGTCCTGAGCCATGAATGAAATTTATATATTTTTTAAAACCAGATGAAACAAAACCGAGTCGAGTTTCAAAGACTCGGTGGTCTTTGTGACTGTAGTTATTACGCACAGAGGAATACTTTATCCATAAACATGGACAAAGTAATATATTTTGGGGTGCTTACATTTTACAGCTGGAAAGTATGTTAAGTCAAACCCTTACAGATCTGGGTTAGGATAGGTCTTCAGCAACCCATGCTTGCCGTAAAGTCGACTATACTTGTCGTAAGAGGTGACTAACGGGATCGGGTGGTCAGGCTTGCTGACTTGGTAGATGCATGTCATCGTATCTCAACTGCGTGGATTGATGCTCATGATGTCAATCACAGGGTTGTCTGGTCCTGACTTGATTATGTACAGACCGCCATCACAAAGCTGGAATATTGCTGAGTGCGGCGTTACACAACAAACTAACAAACCTTACATTGACCTACTTACATACTTCTGCTCATTATGGAGTATCAGAACATTTTGAAATAAAAATGTAAAAAATTCAAATCTTATCTTGCACATTTGTACATTTGATCACACAAATTTGTTTGTTTTGGTTCATTATGTACTGTTATCACTGTTATCCCTTGTGTGTTATCTACCTGTTATCCTGTGTGTGTATATCACCCTGCTGTTACACGGAGATCCTCAGTATGAGGTTATGGTCTTCATTATCAGTAAGACGAATTGGTGATTGTGACTAACCCAGAGGTTGAAATGTTAATACTTCCCAGACTAAAAAGTACAATTTAGGTCACAGAATGAGACAACAGAAGCATGAGTACCCTTTCCGCTGACATCTGTTGTCAGGACTGATATTCAGTGAACTATTCATATACCGTATTCGATGTAATAAGCGCCCAGGGCGTTCTCAAAATTAGAAATAGGGGGCTCTTATTAGAATATTATTTTGGTGAGAGAAAAAACGAGTTGAAAGACCGTTAATTTCGTGGTTTATG